TTGGGCCCCTGCACCCACGTGGGAGACCCAGAAGAAACTCCTGGTTTCTGGCTTCGCATCAGCTCAGCTCTGGCTGTTGTGGTCATCTGGGGAGTGAACCAACAGAATGGAAGACCTCTCTCTCTCTTTCTGGCTCTACCTCTCTCTGTAACTCTGTCTTTCAAATAAGAAAAAAAAATCATTTATTTATTTGAAAGGCAGAATTACAGGGAGGCAGAAGCAGAGAGAAAGAGAAAGATAAGTCCTCCATCCTCTGGTTCACCGCCCAGATGGCTGCAACAGCCAGAGCTGTGCCAATGCAAAGGCAGGAGCCAGGAGCATCTCTCTGGTCTCCCACGTGGGTGCAGGGACCCTAGGACTTGGGCCATCTTCCACTGCTTTCCCAGGCCATAGAAGAGAGCTGGATCGGAAGTGGAGCAGCTGGGACTCAAACCAGCGCCCATATTTGATGCCGGCACTGCAGGTGGCGGTCCGATCTGCTTTGCCTTAGTGCCAGCCCCCTCCCCTGGGAGGTCCCCTTGCCCTCCCCATGTCCCCACCCCATGCTCCAGCACCAGAGTCTGTTCAGAATTAGCTCATGCAGCTCCCTCTCCCTGTCCGCATACACTGGTGGCTGATGCCTTGCCGCTGACAGCTTGCAGGGAAGACGCCGCGGATGTCAGACGGGCAGCGTGATTTCCTGTTTGTGCTCGCTCTTGCGGGGTTTTGTTTTTCTGTCTCTCTGGCCGCATCAGGACGTGGGCAGCACATGTTCCTTTCCCGGTGTCTGTAGATGCCCTGGGCTTTCTCCACTAGCCTCTGGGCGGGGCTCAGCCAGGAGGCTGCTCTCCTCCGACCACTCACACGTAGCGTTGCAAAAGAACAGCACTTCCCAGTGACCGTCCCAGGAAAATAAGCCAGAGAACAGACAGTTGTTGAGTTTACATGTGCTGGGAAGTAGAGGCTGGAAATCCGCTGCTGCTCCCTGTCCGGCACCAAGGACTACTAGAGCCCAGGGTCAGTAGAAAAGTGAGTGAGCTGATGGTGACAGCCCGTTGCTGCAGACTGGGCACGTGGGGGACGCGAGGGACGCATGTGCCAGAGACAGTGTGTGGGACCTAGAGTTTGGAAAGCTTTGAACAGTACAGGTGGCATTTTCCAGGGGATAGTAACAGGTATTATAAGGGTAGTGACTCTGGGCGGCACGGCAGTTACTGAAAAGCATGTATGGGTTTTTTTTCCTGGTCTGGCTGGGGTGTGGGGGGGTGTTTGTAAGACTCCAAAGGGAGCAAGACAGCAGGCAGCTTTTCCCACTCCTGCCTGGGTGGGAAAAGCCCTTCCCTAAACACCACGCGTCCCCCAGGTGTGTTTCCCGGAAGACAGCCTTCCCCTGGGCTGATGGGACCGTGCAGGTGGTATGATGGGGCGCGAGTTCTCTTTAAGTCCTCTCTAGAAACAGGTGTAGAGGTTGGGGGCAGGGAAGCCTGCTGCCAGTCACAGTCACCGACATCTGGGCCGCTCCGCACGGAGAGCCTGGAGTGCTGCCGGGTTCGTCCCAGCCCTCCCGGGCGGGTGGTGCTGTCACTGCACTCCGCTCCGTGGGTGAGGGCAGGGAGGCGGCAGGGGTGCAGCGATGGCCGGAGTAGCCCAGGGAGTAAGTGGGGAGGTGGGCTGTGTGAGATTGTGTGACTGCCGGAAGCTGCCTCCTGAGCTCTGCTCACTGTTCCCAGCAGAGTCGGGAAGAGCCAGGACCCAAGACGAGAAGCAGTGGGGACAGGAAGCCTGTAGAACGCAGTCACCCAGAAGCAGGGGCGGGTGTCAGGTGCAGCAGTTGTGACAACACTTGGGATGCCTGCGTCCCTCATCAGGTTGAGTCCTGGCTCCACTCCCGCTTAGCTCCGGCTGATGCACACCCTGGGAGGCAGCAGTGACGGCTCAGGTACTTGGGCCTGCGCCACCCATGTGGGAGATCTGGATTGAGTTCCTGGCTCCTGGCTCCTGGCTGTGGCCTGGCTAGGCCTGTGCCCTAGCTCTTGCTGGTATTTGAGGAGTGGAAAAAAAAAAAAAAAAAAAAAAAAAAAAAAAACAAAAAAACACGTGGGACATCTATGTCTCTCTGCCTTTCAGATAACTAAGTCAGGAAGTCAAAAGCTGCAGAGAGGTGGTGGGAAGGCCTGAGAGGGGGCATCCCGCCCGAGGGCGCAGCCTGCACCCGTGGAGCGGGGACCACCCTGTCCTCTCTTCCTCGCCAGCAGTGTGAACTGGGGTGCTCTGTTCCCCTGTGCCCCCATACTTCCTGGAAGCCACGGAGGGGAAGAAACGCGGCATCCATGCCCACCTCCAAGGCAGCATCCCCAGCCCTCAGGCAGAGCTGGGTCGCCAAGCGCAGGTCAGGTCAGCCCTCACTCCCTGCCGGTGGCGTGGCTTCCGGGAACCCACAGTGCCTGTCTACCAGACAAGCTGGGCCACGAGGAAGCCCCACCCCCCACCAGGTCTCCCTGCCAGCGTCCTTCAGGTCCCGATGGCAGGCCTCGTGCTAGGCACCAGGGATCAAGGGTGCCTGTGGCGTGCAACCTCCCCTCCAGGAGCCAGGCAGGTTAGAGATCGGAGTCTCACTCCCACCAAGTGTACCCTAAGTCAACACTGTGCAGAGAAGTGACTCCCAGGTGGTTCTAAATGTTTCAATAAACAGCTATTTTTAAAAGAGGGATGGGCACTGGGCACGTTTGACACAACTGAAACGCCTGAACATCCCATCATATCTGAGTGCCGGGTTCCAGGCCCAGCTCCATGTCAGATTCCAGCTTCCTGACGTGCACACCCCGGGAAGGCAGCGGCACACTCAGGTACGGGTCCCTGCCACCTATATGGGAGACCTGGATTGAGTTCTGGGCTCCTGGCTTTGGACCCAGCTATTGTGAGCATTTGAGAAGTGAACCAGTGAATGGAAGAGCTCTCTCTGTCTCTCTCCGTCTTTCTCTGTCTCTGTCTATCTCTGCTTTTTGGTCTTTCAAATAAAATGAAAATAAATAAGTAAAACTTAGAAAGAAACAGGTTAAATTATTTTTCAGAGTAAATTTAATCCAATATATCTCAAGTATCATTTTTAATATGTAACCAATGAAAAATTTATAAATGATGTATTTCACATTCTTTTCACTCACTGAGTCTCTGTAATCTAGTATGTATTTTGAGCTTATAGTACTTTTTTTTTTTTAAAGATTTTACTTATTTGACAGAGTTACAGAGAGAGGAAGAAATAGGGAAAGAGAGATATTCCATCTGCTGTGCACTCCCCAAGTGGCTGCAACAGCCAGGGCTGGGCCAGGCCAAAGCCAGGAGTTTCTTCCAGGTCCCCCATGTAGGTGACAGGGGCTCAAGGACTTGAGCCATCATCTTTTTTTTTTTTTTTTTTTTTGGACAGGCAGAGTGGACAGTGAGAGAGAGAGAGACAGAGAGAAAGGTCTTCCTTTTTGCCGTTGGTTCACTCTCCAATGGGTGCCGCAGCCGGCGAGGTGCGCACTGCACTGATCCGAAGCCAGGAGCCAGGTGCTTCTCCTGCTCTCCCATGGGGTGCAGGGCCCAAGCACTTGGGCCATCCTCCACTGCACTCCCTGGCCACAGCAGAGAGCTGGCCTGGAAGAGGGGCAACCGGGACAGAAACCGGCGTCCTGACCGGGACTAGTACTCGGTGTACTGGCGCCGCAGGCGGAGGATTAGCCTATTGAGCTGCGGTGCCGGCTTGAGCCATCTTCTACTGCTTTCCAAGCAGGGAGCTGGCTTGGAAGTAGAACAGCTGGGCCTTAAACTGATGCTGATATGGGATGCCGGCATCAGAGGCAGTGGCTTAACCCACTACACCACAATGCTGGTGCCCTATGGCACTCGTGTGGAATCACTTCATGCAGCCACTGCCTACTCTGTTGGCCAGGCCAGGTCTAGACTGTCAGATAGCAATGTATCATCATGAACTGAGTGACAAAGGCAGGAGCCGATTGGAAGCCTCTCAAGTGGGTTTGTTTGTTTGTTTGTATTTAGAAAGGCAAAGAGAGATCTCCCTTCTGCTAGTTTGCTCCTCAAATGCCTGCAACAGCCAGGGCTGGGCCAGGCCAAAGCCAGGAGCTGGGAACTCCATCTGGGTCTCCCACATGGGTGGCAGGGACCCAACTACTTGGGCCATCACCTGCTGCCCCCCAGGGTGTGCATAAGCAGGAAGCTGGATTCAGGAGTGGAGGCGGGACCCAAACCCAGGTACTCAGAAGTGGGGCATCTTAACTGCCACACCAAATGCCCATCCCTGGAATTTTACTCCCATTACCCTGCCCACCCATCTCCACACCTGCCCGGTGCATCCAGGTGTGCAGGCTGTGTGAGGACAGAGCTGGACTTTTAAGATAAGGAGCTCTGTAGATTTTGGTTCAAATCACGATTTCAAAAGGCCAAGCAGGTATTTTCTTTTCCAAGTGCCACATGTCCCTCTGCAAACATGGGCGTGAATCCCTCAAGAATCCAGACATTTGGACATAGCCATGGATGGGGTGGAGGGCCAGACACTTCCCACCAAGTCCCACGTCACAGGAAGTACTGGGCAGTGGGAACCCTGGGGGCAGTGCCTCACCCGGACAAGGTCTCAAAGGATGAGAACACATGTTCCGGGCTGGGTGGGGTGGGCTAGGTCATTGCACCCCGAAGGGCAGGCCAGAGACAGGGCATCAAAGCTCAGGGCCACTTAAGGGGCTGCTCTCGTGGAGGCTGGGTGGGAGGGAGTGCTGAAGTGTGGCGTGTTGTGTGACCCTGCGTTGCAGAGGGTCCCCTGGTCCCGTGTGGAGAATGGCAGAGGAGATCAGAGCAGGGTGCCCAGGCCATTAGGGAAGGTGGGAGTGAGGGAGGGGGAGGCGGCGAGGACGGCCCTGTGGCACTGGCTTGGGGAGCTAGAAACGCTGTCCCCCAGTCCCCATGCGGAAATGCTCCGAGAACCATCTCGGTGCACACTGACGTCTGCAGTTTCCACTTTAATGCAGCCACAAAGACTCCGTCCCACCCGACCGCCGCCTCCCAAGATCCAGCGCTGGAGGCCCGTGAGTAGCTGGTGGTCCTGCTGTCCCCGCCTAACATTGCCTGAGCCCTCTGTGCCCGGCCTCACTAAACCCCGGGAGTGTGGACTCTCCTGCCTGGCCAAAGACATCCGGGAGCCGGGTTTCTTCAGCTTCCCTCTCTGCGTGGCATGAGCCTGAACTTGCATTTTTCCGGGCTTCTGTCCCCTTTTTCTCATTAAGCCCAGCGGCTAGAAGGGTAGAGCCGTGGGTCGCGGGGTGCCGCTATGTGCCGTGTGTGTGCTGGGTGTGCATCGTTGGAGCGCATCTTGTGGCGGGGAGCTGTGTTTCCAGCCAATGAGTTTTAAAAGCCTGGCTCCAGATGCGTCTGCCCCACCGCAAAAGAAGCCTAAGCCCAGCAGCAGGGGGCTCACTCCCGCTGTGTCTTGATTTGGAAATACAATCGATGTCCTCTCCCCGGGGACAGAGGCTGCACCCAGAGAATACAGGGCCAGCTCAGAAGCAGACAGGGGCCACACGTGGAGATCCACCTTCCCACGTGAAGCGCCAAGTGCAGCGAACACGCAGGACACAACGCGGCTGACCCGCCAGAGTCAGAGAACAGAGTGGGTGAGCCGCCCCGTGCGTGTTTAAAGGGCAGTGCTGCGGGCAAGTCCTGGGCGTGGGTGCCATGCTAAGTGTCGGCTGTAATACCCCAAGCAGGTGCATGTGCGTGGGGAACCTGCCAGCACTGGTTGGTGAGGGCTGTCGACCAATGCAGGAGTTTGTTGGTTCACGGTTCACAACAGCCACCACTCCACAGCTTTAGAAAAGGGGCCAGCTGTGATGGGAGGACCCCACAAACGGGTGTCCCATCCCGTCATGCCCTCTACAGTGCGCATGTCCAGTTCTCTCTCTCAAGGGCACAGAAGCTGGGCTGAACCACGTGTCTGTGTTGAACCCGTGGTGCCTGCCCCCAGCACCCACTGGGTAGCTGCTCCGTGGGCGGATGCAGACGCTCCCTGGAGCTGCTTGGCCGCCGTGTGTGGCAGTTGGAGGGATAGGAGGGTCCTGAGTCTGGAGTTCCAGCCACACTGCATGACGGACACCCTTGTGGCCCAGCCAGCCGGCAAAGGCGGGCGGCTCCCACTCTGTCACTGGAAGCGCCTGCAGGGTCGGGCCCTGGGCGATGCACTGAGCATTTTAGTGCGGAGGTTAGGAGCGTGACCTGAGGAGTCAGCAGAGCCAGGCGCAGATGCTGACGCTGTGTGACCCCGGGCAAGGCTGGAAGCTCCGTGAGCCTCACGTCTGTCTGTGGGAACGAATGTGGTGGACATTGGTAACGTCCTCTCACTGAGCAGGGTGCTGCCTCTTGTGGCCCTGAGGAGTGGCCCCGCATCCTGATAGCCAGCATTTTCCCGGGATCTAACAGTCAGCAAGCTGTTTTCCGGGTACCTCACCACGTGGCTCAACAGTGCGGGTGGCATTGTCAACGCCCATTTCAGAGATGAGAAAGCTGACGCTTGATAGCTTAACCCCACTTCCTCGACTGTAGGTAGGGTCTCAGGACTCTGGAAGCTGTGGTCTTTCCTGAACTCCCAGCTCCCCGGACCCTCCGCCTCCGTGGAAGTGGAAACAGGTTCATGAGCAGCTGGCTGGGCTTCCGCGGAATCTCTAAGGCGTGGTCAGAGCCCAGCAGGGACGGAGCAGTGACAAGAACTCCCATGTATTGAGGGGTGGGCACTTGGCCTGCTGTTGAGACCCCAGCATCCTGCGTCCGAGCACCCAGTTCCCCATTCCAGCTTGCCGTCCCAGCACAGAACCCAGCAGGCAGCAGCTCAAGTGGTCAGGCCCTGCCACCCACCTGGGAGCCCTGGCCTCCGCTCCCAGCTCCCAGCTCCCAGCTCCCAGCTCCCAGCTCCAGCCTGGCCCAGTCCTGGTCTTTGCAGACATTTGGGAAGTGAGCCAGCAGCTGGGAGCTCTGTGTGTCTTATCTCTCTGTCTCTTTTTCCTAATGTTTTTGTTTTACATTTATCCAATACTTTTCACGTGCCTAGGACTGAACGGGGCCTGCATCATGACTGTCTCCTTGAGCCTGACAACAGCCCAGAAATGAGCTGTCCCCCAGCTTGTAGCCGAGGCTACAGAGGCTGGCCTGTGAGGTCCCACCTGCCCCGTCCACTGCCTCTCCCTGTCCCTTGAGTGACAGCCCGTGAGCAGCTCTCCAAACTCCCCCTGGAGACCTGGGATGCAGGGCGGACAGGGACTTGGTCAGGAAGCATGATTCAGGTCAGGATCATTCCCCCGGGAAAAACTTCAGGAATGGGGTCAGCAGCAGTGGATTCCGGGTAGTCTCACGGATTTCGGGTGGGGGAGGGGGTGGGAAAGGACTCATCAGCCACACCCCCTGGCACTGAGGAGTTGGGTCAGGGGCAGACATGGCCATTACAGACAGCCAGAGCCCAGCTGCCCGTGCCCCTGGGCTGGTGCTGGAGGTGGCTAGCCCGACACACGGAGCTGCACCCCCTGGCTTTGTGGCGTGCTGCAAACATAGGTGTCCAGCTGGGCATCCTGGGCTTGGAGGTCAAAGAGGCCTTCTGGTCTGAATCACAGGCTGGCCGGTTCCTGGCCAAGGGACTTTAGGCAAGAGCCTTCGTTTCATCATCTGTGAAATGGGCATAGCAGTTCCCACTCAGTGAGGGTAGTGAGGTCATGCATGAGTGGCACCTGGCGCAGCCCCTGGCATGCAGTGGGCACATCTGTCAAGCAGGGCCACCAAGACACCAATCTGGGAGCCCCAGAAGGGCTGTGTTTTCAGAGAGTCCCGTGGTCCCCCAGGCTTTAGGAGACGTCCCTCTGCTGGCATTCACGCAGGCTTTTCCAGTGGACTCCCCTGCACACTCGGTGAGAGCCTGGGACACAGGGACTGGAGCCCCCCAGGGCCTGACAAGCTCCCACGTCCATGACGGCGCTGGCAGAAGCAGCGGGGAGCCTGCCACTCAGCCCTTCCGCAGGGGCTGTGTGTCCCGGGCCCTGTGGCTGCAGTCCAGATGTGGCCAGAGGACTTGGGCTTTCTTTTCGAAGAGAAGAGAAAGGGAAAAGCAGAAGCAAACCACACCAGTGTCTTATGGACCTGGGGGCCATGCCAGGGCCCGTCCGGGAGGAGCAGGCAGTGCGCAGCCTGCACGCGAGGTGCTTCCTAAGCTCCGTATTTATTATTTCTTGCTCGCCATTAAAATCAAATGGACTCGGTGCTTTTGTATTCAATACACATTTAACCCTGCCGACTTAGATTTCTCAGGTTTTAAATCCAGTGGGGAATTGGCTGCCTTCCCAGCTCTCCCTGCCAGGCCCCCTGGAACAGAGCTGGAAGTCCCTGCTCAGCGTTTTCTCCCCCGGCACCGCTGGGCTCCTGCCCGGGTGGGGCCAGCGCTGGGGTGCGTGTGGGCCACTTCCCCTCCACCCTGCCTGGGCACCCCAGAAAGACGGACGTGCTCACTGAAATATGACGGGACATGTCTGCTTCATCTTGCGATGCAGGCTTAATTAAACCATTTTGGCTGCATGTGTGTCTGTGCCTGGTTGTGGTCTGCGGCCATGAGAGAGTGTGTGTGTGTGTGTGAGAGAGAGACAGAGAGAGAGAGATGCACGAACATGTGCCCTCACCTCCTGTGCATGCCTCTGTGAGTGTCTAGGCGGCTGCGTAGCTGGAGCCCCGAGGCCTCCTAGTGTCTGGGTGTTGTCTGTCTGGGAGCGCAGTTGTCTGTCCCACTTTGTCCACCCTGATCAGGTGTGTGTGGCTCTGGGTGCACCTGCAGCCGTGCGTGCCGGGGGGGACGATCTCTGGTCCGTTGTGCCTTGCCCTCCCTCCCCTGCCTCCGTGCTGCCAGCCCCTCCCCCCCCCTCCCCGCACTGTCTGTTTTATCATCCCTAATGAAGCAGTCTCCTCCATCGATCCCGCTGATTGCCAACCCATTCCTTTTGTTTGTTGGCGCTGAGCCATTCAGCGGCACTCTGACAGCTCAGCTCGTCTAATTAGCTCTGTTGTTCTTTTTCCCCATGTTTCACCACGTTGCAAGTTCAGTTGAAGTTGCCACAAACTTAATCCCCCCATTTCAGCCACAAGTTCACATTCTTAACCCGCCTTTATTGTAGCAGGGAGCAGCCCTGTGCAAGGCCAAGCTGACAGGCCTTAATGTCTGACCTTGCCTGAAAGCCCCCCTCCCCGCACCCCAGGGCCGCCCCGGGCAGGGGCAGAGCTGCTCCTGCACCCAGCTGCACTCCTGCCTTTGTGGGGAGCATCCTGGGGGATCGCCCCAGCCTGGGGATCCTGTTTACCTCGCTCTGACTGGGGAAACCCATTCAGGATCGGGATGGGGGGTGGGCAGAGCCATTTGTTCAAACGCTCCCGAGCGTGTGCAGAAGGGCCAACGGTTCTGATGACAGTGGCAGTGACAGCGGCAGTATGGTGCACTTGCTGGATGGCACACAGCTACCTTCAGTTGTCTCTAACAGCCCTGCTGGGCAACCACGGTACTCCAGGCACAGTGCAGGGTGCTAGGAGGGATGGCAGTGACCCTGGCAGTCACTGGATGTCCACGTTACCCAAGCAGAGGGGCCATGCAGGATGGGCATGGCCAGAGCCCCTCCTGGGTACCGCGCCCCACCCTGCAGAGGCCCAGTAACCCCACAGACCCCAGCAGGTGTGGTGGCACGCACTTGGCTTTTGCCACATCTCAGACTTGCCAGGGACTAGCCAGTCCAGAGGAAGCACATGGTTCGAGCAGGCAGGTACAGTCCTGAGGCCTCGGCGACGCCCCATAAAGACCGACCTTTCACGCAGGCACCGTCCGTGACCTGTGTTCCTCGGCCCTCATTCAGGGAGAGGGCCGGGGGAAATGCAGCAACGGTGTCTTCAGCCCCCAGCGCCAGGATGCTGGTTCAGTTTTATTGGCAGGGAAATGCACAGACAGCCCCGCTCCCGGCCCTCCCCTCTGTGCCACTGGAAATGTTCAGGAATGGCGGTGCCCAGTTTTAAGGACCCAGTGGGTCTCCCGAGCACAGCTGGGAGTCCTCAGCCTGACGCCCGTTGCAGGCTCTGGCCTGTGTGGCTGTCAGACGCAGCAGGACAGAAAGACCCATCTCATCACTGCCTCGGAGGCTGCGGGGTGGGAGAGGCCTCTGCCCCCCACCACCATGCCCACCACCAACCCGCAGGCCGGGTCCACACAGCGAGCTGAGCCGCGCGAGGTGTACAGCAGCCGGGCTGAGCTCCGCCGGGGGGACTGGCACGGGGATGCCCTGGGGAGCAAAATACAGTGTCGCATTTGCATTGGCACTCCTGATACTATTCTTTGCCTTCCTCCCTGCCATCCAAGAGGAAAATAAGCTTCCGGAGATCCAGCCGGAGAGGAAGCAGAGTAAGCGATGTGGGTGCAGGCAGCGAGTCGGAGTGAAGCCCCCCTGTTCTGTGACAGCAGTGTCTGGGCTCCTGAGGGAGGCCAGGGAGGATTCGCCGCCGAAGGGGCCGCCTCCTGCGAGTCCCGTGCGGGCGTCCCCTCGCCAGCCCACAGCGCCACGCTGTCCTCACGCTGTGACATGGAGACCGTGCTCTTTGGGAGAACCGTGCTGATTTGAGAGGCCACAGAGTTCCAACTAACCCCGAATGTTCTGCAGATTAACCAGGGGTGTTTCTGTGGTAGGCGGGGCTTTTGCTGCCTGTACCTTGAAGGTCCCTAAGTGTGTATTCTGGGGCCGCGCATTCAAAGCTTCCAGAAGGTTCCTGTCCGGCTCTCCCCACTCACTGCTTCTTGGGCATCTCCCGTTCTAGGTGCGCCCGCCCCGTCCACACGTGGTCAAGAGACCGAAGAGCAACATCCCAGCGGAAGGCCGGAGGACGTCGGTGTCCAGCCCTGAGCAGTGAGTAGCCCACCGCTGTGCCTGCCTCTGTCTGCGGGGACCCAGTGCCCTCAGGGCACCCAGACAGGCCCAGAAGGTGCCAGGCCTCTGATGCCCAGCACGTGGTGTGTAGGTAGGGGTCAGGAAGCTGGCCAGGGAGACCACCTGCTTAACACAGGCCACCATGTGCTAGGCCCAGTGGTTCTCATGGTGCCTGCGGCTTGGACTTTATATAAAGGTGCTAGAAAAAGTCCGTGAGGGGATGGAGTGAAGATGTGTTCATGTTGGTGCTAAACATTTGGTGACGCATGCCTGGTTTTCTCATCATACGTGCTGTTCGTGAACTTGTTGGAAGACCCCTTGTACACAAGTCCGTCCTGACCCATGAGCGCCCCGCCAGGACCCTTGCTCCCCTGTGCTCTGGTTTATCTCACTGTGGTTTGGCTCCTGTACACACCGCCCCCCAGCCCCCCAGGGGTTCCACCCAGCCCCTAGCACAGACCCGCTCAAGTCACTTGCTGAGTAGTTGCTGGAGAGATGAGGTGAATGCGTGCGGCGGGCACCGAGCTGTGGCCAGAGGCTGAGCGGAGCTGGCAGTGGGGACAGCCCCGACTCCAGGCTGTCTGGGGAAGGCAGCGCCACCTCCCCTCTCCCCGAGGCGCACGGCCCTTGGTCTCTGCCCAGACCCCTCGGCAGCCACAGCCTGGCTCCCTGTGACGCCCGGTCTCAGGTCGCGGCGGGGAGCCTGAAAGGGACCCTGGAGGCCTCTGAGCAGCAAGGGGAGATGCCCCCGCGGCCCCCACCCGTCAGCAGATCTCTCAGGTGAAGGAGTGAAGAGGGAGGGCGGCTCCCAGCCAGAGAGGAAGCCTAAAGGAAGAAGCAGTTCTGAAATGTCAGCCGTGGCCTGGCCCAGGCGCAGGACGCGGGGGCTCTCCCAGGATGCTCTGCTTCGCGCCTGGGTCCTGCTTGAGGCCACTGCGTCGTTTTGATGGGACGAGCCTTCCTGACAGCTCTCAGTGTGTGTGTGTGTGTGTGTGTGTGTACTTTGGAACAGGGTACTGCTAAAGTTGGGAGTGGGTTTCACTTCTGCTCTGCACAGTGGATCCCAGGGTTGTTGAGAGCTTTTCCCAGCCCCGCCTGGCGTGGATTAGCATTGCCCCCTTGTGGAGAGAAGGCTGCAGAGTCCTTGGATGCTAGCGGTTGCTCCAGAGGGCGATGAGACGAGTCACGTTTCTTGTGAGTCACCCGTGCTAAGCCTTTGCGACCCTGGCCTGGGCTTCAGGGTCCCGGACCTGCAGCTGTTGAGTTGTAACCTCAGATATTTCTGCAAGGCCCAGCCCACCCCAGCTCCACACCGGAGCCGAGAGCGGTACCCCACCTACCGCAGCCAGCAGAGGCTTCTCGGGGCCCACTGACGGGAAGTGACTCTTCCGTGCCTGCTTAAGGGCCAGCATCTGATAAGCCCATTTTCCAGAGCTGTGCCTGAACCGCGCCAGTATCACAGTTAGTTTCTTGGGCAGTGAATACTGTTTGCATGTTGGGAAACATTTGGGGTTAGAATGACCCAGTGGGAGCACGGGGGCCGGCCTGGCGGGCTGGCAAGCCAGCAGGGACAGCAAACTGAGAACAGGTTTTCTGCAAGCACCCGCCACAGTGGCTGCGCCGTGAAGCATCGGGGGCGTGCGTTCGGGGATGCCGTTCCAAGGGGTTCATTTCCCATTGTTCGAATGAGGAGAGGGGTGCTGCACCCCTGCAACGCCAGGGCTACTTGTGGTGCAGCCGGCGAGTTTCCCAGGCTGCCTGCCCCGCCCCCACGGCACCGCCACCCCCACCTCCCAGCGCCGCGTCACAGCAGCACTTGGATGTGTTTTTCTCAACTGTCATCAGCTCCAGCTGGCAAGAGCAACTTCTCGAAACACAGGAAGCATCCAGCGGAAAATATTTTAATAAAACAGACTCCTCATAAAATATTGTTCTGGGGGGTGGGGGTGGGGGGCAGGAGCGGCTCCACCAACCTGTCGGCCGGGCCCCGTGCTGGGAGGCAGAGCCGAGGGGGCCTGGGTCGGGCACACGGCCTCGGTGCCTGGCACTTTCATCTGGCCCGGGCTTTCTGGAATCGCCGATCTTTGTCTCCCCTGGGAATATCAAAGTGCATCGGAAACTTGGAGACTCCGGGCAGCAGGAAGGGATGCAGGACTTTTGAAGTCACGAGGAAGGAGTCCGGGCTCCTGGCTTCTCGCCCCGGCTCTCACTTCCAGCAGCTCATTAAATCATTAGCTCCACGGCCAACAAGACGGAGCAGATTAGGAATCAGACCGCTCCCTGCAGAGGCCCAGCGCACTGGGGTCCATCCAGGCCCAGCAGCCTCCGGCCAGTCCATCGTGAAAGCTGTCCCTTCTCCCCAGCCGACGTCTGTCCGTCCATTGCTCCACCTGTGCGTTCACCCATCCGTCTGCTCCTTGAGCAAAACTCTCGGGAAACCTCCACAGTGCCCGCTGCCTAGGTTCTAAAAGGGGCACCTTGACAAGGGGTTGCCACGCCGACCCTTGTTCTCTTGCTTTTCCCAAAGTGAAACTGTCCCACATCAAATTCTCTGCCTCAATGGAGAGTGGGTTTCCTGCTCCCTTCAAACCAATGTCTGCTGAAGAACCCTTCGGGAAGACCCTAGAGAAGACATTCCCTGCGTGTTTCAGATGACGCGTGCTGATTCATGCTGGGGTCCTGTTTCTCTTCAGGGTGGTGCTGGCCACACCCCCCCCCCAGAGTACCCGCTTCTGGGCTGGCACTTGGGACTTAGGGTTCAGAGGGAGAGGCTGTGGGGTACAGGCCAGGCAGCAGGAGGCACAGCTGAGCCCCTGTGGTACTCTCAGCCTCCTAGGCTAGTGTTGTTTCCCTCCACAGGGAGGGACGCAGGCTCAGGAAGTGTCTGTGGCCTGTGTTCCCGAGGTCCCCTGGGCAAGGAGGTGCCAGGACCAGAGTCCCTTGCACTCTGCTGTCCTGGAGACAGGACTGGGCATCCACTCCCAGGCTGGCTTTGCCCAGACAGCAGCGCTGCACACTCTGCCTCCCCTCTGGTCGCCCGAGGCTGGGCCTGGGAATCGGGGCTCACTGCCACAGAAGCAGTGTCCACCGTGGTCCGAGTGTTTCCCCTTGGGCAAGGAGAGAGGAGCGACACGGCTGCAGGCCACCCGGAAACTAGAGTGTCTGGTTGTCAGCATTGCCTCACCGGACCCCAGCACGAAGGCCCCGCAAGACGAAAATGGGATGAGAAGCAGCCACCGAAAGCAGTGAGAACCTGCCCAGAGGCAGCTCTGAGAGCCCCACGCCACTGTCCGGCTCAGCAAGGCATGCACGCACGCTGGAAAAAGGTGGCCACAGATCACAACGGGGATAGTGTGGCTGGTGGCCCGGGGTGTGGGCAGGACCTCGTGCAGCCTGCCCTCTGCATAGCATGAAGCGCGCTGCCATCCAAGGAGCCTGGCTCTGCACGGTCACTTCCTCAGCTGGCAGGGACCGCACCACCGGCCTCCTGTGCAGCCTCGGCCCTCACACGGCGGCAGGCTTCCTGGACATCGTGGCTCCTGTGCAGCCTCAGCCCTCACACGGCGGCAGGCTTCCTGGACATCGTGGCTCCTGTGCAGCCTCAGCCCTCACACGGCGGCAGGCTTCCTGGACATCGTGGCTCCTGTGCAGCCTCGGCCCTCACACGGCGGCAGGCTTCCTGGACATCGTGGCGGACTCCGTGTTGTCGTTTTCAGTTTACATGTCCCATGCGCACCTGCAACACCCCTCCCCCAGTAGTCAGAAGCCCCTCCTGGGCAGGGGCCGGGTGATCCTCGGCCGTGACTCCTGTCCCTGGCCACAGCCTAGCCGGGGCCTCTGCTCAGAGGTGTTTTCTGGATGCTTGAATGAACAAAGGAATCCGTGAACGCGAGGCGCCGTGTACCAGCTCTGTACCCTAGAGATGTGGCAGGGGTGCCAGGTGACCGCCACCCACCATGTGCCAGGCGTGATCAGGACAAGGCTCCGAAGCTGCCGGCACCTGCCCTGCCCTGCTCTGCCTTCTGAGAGCCGGGAGCTCTCCTCAGGCCTGGGAGCAGGGCTGCAAGATGCCAGCTGGGCCCTGGGCCCCCGGGGCTGGGGGCAGCTGTCTTCGGCTCTACCCCCTGGCAGGCTGCCAGGACCCACTCCCTGAGCGGCCAGGAGTCCAAACACCCGAGCAGAAGGTCACAGACCCAATTAGCAGAATGAGAAGCTCCTGACCCGACTCGCACCCTCCTCCCAGTGGGTTCTGGGCCCTGCGACAAAGCCAAGCCTGGAGCAGACATGGAGCCTGTGCCCAACTGGAAAAGCAAGGACTGCCAAGAAGCCCCCACCCCACCCACAAGGAGCCTCCAAGGATCCGAAGCAGCCCCCAGGAAGACCCGAGACCCTGCTGTCTCTCAGCCATGCCAGCCTGGCCGCTGGGGTGGGGGCTGTTCCCAGGAGCGGCCAGCGCAGGGGGAGTGCGGCCCTCATGGAAAACCACGCCTGTGGGGTGCTTGAGGAAGGAGGAGGGGTCCCATCCTGCAGATGCCAGTGCCTTCAGGCCCCTCCGAGGGGCCTCGCCCCTCCCACACGCCAGGTTGCCATTTCGCAGGTGGCTGTCACGTGCCCAGTGCTCCCACACGTCGTGTCATCTTGGCGGTTAACCTCCCACCCGGCCAAGGTCTGGGCAGCCGCGCAGGAGCCACAGCTCTGCCAGCGGAGTGCCGTGTGCAAGATTGGTGCGGGGAGCAGGCAGGCAGGAAGGAGTGCGCATGCGGGTGGGGAAGTGTTTCAGCTTTAGATGTGTGAGTGTGGCTTTGGGCCTCACCCAACCCGAGAGGGAGCGACATCGGGGCAACCCAGCCGGTAAGACTTCCTGCTCCCGGCTGTGTCTGCCATGCCACGGCCTCGTGGCACCACCCCAGCCTCCCACGTCACCTTCAGCGCGTGTACTACCTCGAGCCCGCCACCACCTGCTCCCTGCCAGCCCTGCGGCCTCTTCTCTTGAACTCCGACACCCTGGGCCTGCTCTTCTCAGCTTTCACACTGTCACCCCGCCACTGTACTTGGGATGGAAACCCTGTGCCCGTGCCGCCTCCCCAGGCCCCCATGCTGGCCAGAAAGGCTGCAATGGCAGGAGCACCATCTTGCTCCCCAGGAGCCAGGGCCAAGCCTGCATGGGGGGACCATCACCCAGAATCTGTTTGCTGGCAGGCGGATGTGGCTTGCCGATGGTACCTGGGTCAGCGCTGGGCACTGTGCAAAATCCCTGACATCTTTGTTTGCCTCTCTGAGACCCTCAGGAGGGCTGTGGCATTCCCCATCCTCACAGCCAAGTGGAGGCTGGAGAGGGAGGGGAGGGTCGTGGTGATTCTGCGAAGCAGGACCTGGCCCCGACCTCGGGCCCGTCCTTGCTCATCAGCTGCCCCCACGGCCGAGCCCCATCATGGAGGGAACATGGAGGTGGCCAGGCCTGTGGCAGTGACCGTGCCACGTGCTGGGGTGAAAGGGTCCTCCACACAGCAGTCGCCCGCTCCCCTTCATTACTCCGGAGGCCAAGCCCCGGCTGGGTTTTTCCACACACCCCCCATCTTTATCTCAAGTACATTTAAATGTCAATTAAATTTGAAATATCTACATTTGTCAGCATTTCATTTTGGGCCAGCGTGACGTGCTGCTGATTTGTCCACGCGATGTGACACATGAAAAAAAAAAAAAAAACCAACTCTGGAGATGCAGATCTTCCTCATTAAAAACTGAGCCGGCGCGGTCCCGGCGCGAAGGAGAGCACAGAGCTCGTCCCGCTCCCTGACGCCCGTGTCTCTGACATGGTATTTAAAAAGGAACAGCCTCGCCTGTCACCACTGTCACACGCGTGCACTACCCGGCGACACGTTAAACCAAACATTAGACAGGGCTCGCAAGTCATCCGCACAGGAGCCCTGCGCCCAGACGAGGTGGGCAGAGGCGGCGGCAGCCGTGGGGGGATGGCGGGGTCTGAGCGGTGACGGACAGCGGCCCCTTCTGTCGCCCCCAGACTCCGGCGGTCCTCGCTGGGTAGCCACGCTCGCCACGACCCGCCTTTTCACAGGCAGCCCTTTGTGTGCAGTGAAATCCAGGCAAGTGCTGGGTGGCAGACTGCAGGGTAGTAGCTGAATTGGGTTAATGAGGGAAGAGATACAGTTTTTTTTTTTTTTTTTCTCTTCTTCTCAAATTCTGCCTTAAGCTAATAAAAAATTTAAACCTGGACGTTTTCGACGGTTCATCCTTTATCTCTGACAAATATCTGACTGTTTTGTGGGAGAGCACGAGCCGCTGAATTTAAATAAGTTTATTTGGAAATCGCACCTTTCTGTTAAAAAGTAGAAGGGGGGAACACCCCATCTCTCCCTTCATTGTTTCAGTTCCAGGGAGCCAAAGGGGCAGGGTCCCGTGGCCCTGCAGTCAGGCAGCTGTGTGACTCCTAGCGAGGGACTCGCCCTCTCTGAGCCTGGGCTTTGCTTTGCTTTTCTTTCTTTTTTGTCCGCAAAGTGGGGATGTGGAAAGGCATTCGTGGGAGACTGTACGGGCAGCACTCAGCCCAACGCTTGTGCAGCCAGTGTCATCGCCGTTGCCCGTGTGGCCGGGCCTGATGCAGCTCCGAGCTGACCGAACCCCAGCCAGTGTCCACCCCGGCACCCTGTCGCTTCTAAGAGCCAGGTGGCGCGTCATCCTGGGCCTCTCGTGGAGGCCAGGGGAGCCAGGAACAGGGCTCGTGAGCCGGAGTTCCTACCCCGTCCCTACCCCACCCCTCGGCATCCCCGCCGTCAGAGTGTGGGAGGCACTGGTTTTGACAGTGGACGCGCAGGCTGTCGGCTCTCGTGGGAATCCAGGAGCTCCTGGCAGGTTTGGAGGCATCTTCTCTTGTGCCTTGTGGTCATCTGTGCTTTCGTGTCCAAGCCAGGGAGGGCCGTGTGCAGGGCCAGTGGTCAGGAAGGCACTGGCGAGGGACTGAGGGCCACTGGAGAACCTCATTCTGCCTGACCCACGCAGGGGCCCGCGTCTCCTGCCCTGGAGGGGGCCGCCTGGGTTGGAATCGCTTCCTGGCCAGGTCCCTCGGCCACGTGTACCCCTCACCCAGTGCTCAGCCAGCCCGCGCTGGGTCTGCACAGAGCCAACAGGCAGAAGGTGCCCCGTAGTCGGGTACACGGCTGGACAGACAGCTGGACTCAGCAGGGCTCGCCCTCTGCATGAGCCGCGCGGCCATGCCTTCCTGCCGGGCTGCAGAGAGGTCTGGGAGGCCCCAGCACCGTGTTGCCCAGCCTTCCCCGGGATACCTGATGCCCTTGCCCCGGCGTGGTCCCACCCCCTCCCCCATGGCAGGGCGGGGCAGCACGGAGCTGCCCACTGTGCTAGTGCTGCACCCCAGGGACCCTCGAGCGGCTTAGCTGAGGTACGGAATGTGTGAGAGGTTCAGTGGTGTGGGAGGCACCAGGACATACAGCCAGGAAAGCAGACTCCGCCTGGGCCCCCCAGAAATGCCCTTTAGACCATGGCCCCAAGACTGAAGGGCAGGGAATGTACCGATGAGCCAGGAGGGGCGAGGGGACAGGCACATGGGGGCGTTATAGGACCCTGGGTGCTCAGAGACGGCGACACTGCTGAAACGCAGGCCAGGGGGCTGGAGGGCACGGGGGTGGGCAGCAGCGTGCAGGGAGCCACCCTGCCAGCGTCGTGATGCCGCATCCGCCACCTCACTCCGTGGGGTCACTCGCCAGGCACCCGACGGCAGCACAGTGGAGACTGGACGGCTGCTCGGCCGGCTTCGTGCAGAGAGATGGCAGAGGCAGGCCAGGGCACGGTTCTGCCAGTCACGTGACCCGCCGTGAGGCCAGAGGAAAGTGCCGCTCCTGGGCCAGCGCCCGCCCCCTCTAGTCCAGGAGGGGCTGAGGCTTGTGGCGTCCCTGCAGCCAGGGAGGCGGCCTGGAGGGGAGCCCACGCCTGGTGTGTGATCCCGGCCTAGTGACCCCCACAAGCCTCCACCTCCAAGAACAGACTTCACCTGGCCAGCCTGCAGCGACACAGGAAGCCCTCATTCACCCTCCAGCTGCGGCTCTCCTGTAATTTTTTTTTTTACATCTATTTTGTTTATTTGAAAGGCAGAGTTGCAGAGAGCGACAAGGACAGAGAGAGAGCTTCCATCCACTGGGTCATTCCTCAAGTGGCCACAACAGCCGGGGACTGGACCAGGCCGAAGACAGGAGCCTGCAACTCCATCCGGGTCCAAGCACTTGGGCCATCATTGAACACTTCCCCAGGATGGGAAATGGAGCAGCTGGGACTCGAACTGGCACTTGTGGGGACGCCGGTGACGCAGGCAGCTGCTTAGCCTGCCGTGCCACAGCGCCGGCACCAGTTCTCGTGGGACTCAGAGTCCACATTACCCTTTCCTCAGACAACTCTGAAGGGAAGGAGATGGCTTCGGCTGGCCGGAGAGAGCAGAGGTGGCCCCACTCCGACACCTGCGGCTCCACCCGCCCTCCCACTTCACCCTCACCTCGCCGGGGGTCCTCGGGCAGAGGCCAGGGACGCAGGCTCCCCAGGATCTGAACCGAGGCCTGTCTGGCCCAGCCCCCTTTCCCTGGGCCCGGCCAGTGGATAATTCATGGGAGCGCGATGTGGAGCGTCCCGGGGCTGGGTGTTGTGTTTGTGTTTATAGAGGAAGCACTCACAGGTGGCTGACAAGGGAGATGTATTTTTTATAACAATGAATATTTAATTTCCACATCACAGATGAGAAAGACTCTCTGAAGAGGTTCCAAGGGGGACCCGAGAGCTGGCCCGCCTTGGGGAGGGGCCTCCTCGCAGGCGCCCCCCCACCGGCTCACTCGGGCATGCTTTTTGTTTTTGTAGCAACTTGCCTTCTTCCTGATCACTCAAGTCCATGAGCTCCCGGCAGAGCACAAGGAAGCAGAAGGAGAAATCACCCACGTCCTCCCGGCCCCCAGCCGTGGCCCCAGCGCTCGGGCGCCTGCCACCTGCGCCGGAGGGGGCGTCCCTGCCGCCTGGGCTCGGACCTTGCCGTCTCTTTTCTAGCACTTTCCCACAAGTGAACAAGAGAGCCTGTGGCACTCTGCCTCTCCGTGTCCGCGGGGGCTGCTCCCCCAGGACCCCTCCCAGCCGCCCAGGGTACAGACACTCAGGAGGGCGTGGGATTTGCTATCACCACGCCCAGCCCGCGTGGACTCTCCGCCGTTTCGGTGACTTGCAGCACCTGATACAGAGTGGACGCTGTGTGCACAGTCGCTCGGCCCCGTCGGGTGGGAAACAGTAGGGGGAAGGCATCTGCTCATGCTTCTCGATTTCTTTCATTAAAGATGTATTTATTTATTTGAAAGGCAGAGTTGGGGTGGGGAGAGAGAGAGAGAGCTCTTCCATCCAGTGGTTCACTCCCCAAATGGCCGCAGTGGCCAGGAGCCCAGAACTCCATCAGGGTCTCCCATATGGATAGCAGCGTCCCAGCATTGGGGCCATCCGCTGCTTTCCCAGGCACCTTAGCAGGGAGCTGCATCAGAGGCAACGCAGGGCGGACTCGAGGCGGCACTCGTGGGCTGTCAGCCTCGCAGGCGGTGGCTCAGCCCGCTGCGCCACAGCGCCCGGCCCTTGTTCACGTTTCTTACGTACGTGACATTTTTGCCAAATATTTTCCATACAGAACCTGTGGGCCCAGGGCGACCTATACAACTGCCCCTTTGCCTCCTGACTCCTGACTGTGCGCCGGCTTCTGATGGCTGACAACCTGGGTGGCCTCACGTGCTAACTGCGCGAACAGGGCAGTGAGGAACACGCGTGGGGATCATCCAGGCGGCAGCACGCTCCCGGGGCTCTGGCCACACACTGCCTGCATCCCGCCTCTCCCGGTCCCCAGCCTCCCCGCCCCGCCGCGCCCCTAACTGCCTGTTCTCTCTTCTCTTCTCTTCCTCTGCCCAGCCTGGTAAAGCCCTTGCGACACTATGCCGTCTTCCTGTCCGAGGACTCCTCTGACGATGAGTGCCAGCGGGAAGAGGGCCCGAGCTCTGGCTTCACCGGAAGCTTGTTCTTCTCTGCTCCCTTTGAATGGTCTCTCCCTGCTTCTCTCGCGTCCCGGGCTCGGCGTGGTGACTGGGCTGCATGGGGGGGGGGGGCATGCTGCTGCCGGCCCTGTGTTTGGGGGGGAGCTGTGTGGAGCTGCTGCCCTCCAGGTGCCTCGTGCCAGTTTGCAGGGTGGACGCCACCCCCGTGGGCCTCCACCAGCCCGCGAGGGGCCGGGGCGACGGATGAGTGAGGTGATAGGCAGTCCCGTTGGAGGGAAAAGCGCACTTGATGGTGAATGGAACTGATGGCTACCACCTGCTGGGTCCTGAGTCGTAAAAGCCGGGAGATGGGGAGTCAGCGTCTCAGTGACAGGGGACATGCACGCGGTGCTGCCAAGCCCCAGTCTGCCGGGCTTCAGCAAGATGGCTTCTACTGTTGCCACTGGCAGTGTGAGCTCCTACTAACTGCAGATAACAACTGGAAAGCAAGCAAGAGGCATCAGCCCCCAGGTCTTGCCCTCCACCCACGAGTTCTTCAGAGCTGGGATGGAGCAGAGCCAGCTGCTGTCCGTCAGCGAGGTGGTTTTTACTGGGAGAGGAATCCGCCCCCTGCCCAGTGCCCACAGTGCCTGTGCCTGCAGGTGCTCCCCGGACTCGCCCACCAAGGAGTCCATCAGGTCACGGCCAAGGCCCCCTCGCGTTCTGTGTGAATGGATGGACGCCCCCGTCCTTAGCGCGTGGTCCCAAATGTCAGGACAGGCCCGGGTGTGCTGATGGGGGAGCTGGCCCTCCTAACGGCGCGGGCTCAGTTCCCTTCTGCCGCTCATTGTGTCGAGGCTTGGCTGGACGTCTGAATTCCTCGCTCAGATGGCTCGGTCAGAGCGAGCGAGGCACTTCTGGGGTCGTCCCAAACCTGGCTTCCATTTCCACCCCCAGTGCCATGCTGTGTGACACAGGGAGGGCCACTGGCCTTCTCCGACCTCCCATGTCCTCGGCTGCTTGCCTGCTTCAGGGATGCGGCACAGGCTGAGGTCCCTGCCAGTGCTGGGCGGAGCCCTCCCCTCCCCTGGGTCTCTCAGCCGGCCGTCGGGGTGAGCCTGCTCTTGAACAGCAGGTGGCGCCCTTTCCCCCACTTCACCAGCGCCCCAAGCACTGTTCCCACCAGACCCACCAGTACCAGTCAGCCCCAGTCTCAGGGTTGGAGGATGCGCTCTCCTGGATCTCCACTAGGGGTCAGGATTGACCCAGGAACCGTCTCTCCGCGTGTTTCTCCAACCCGCCCGGGGCCCTGGGGCCCAGGACAGTGGGAAAGGGAAGCTAGAGGAATGCTCTGTTCCCCGCACTTGGATGGCCTGCGAGGTTTTGCTTTGCAAGTGGACAGAAGGCTGTTTGCACAGAGCCCACGTGCTTGTAACATTCCCCAGCTATTGCCGGCGCCATGTGCGCTGTGTGCCAGGCACTGCGGTGACTCAGGTCAGCACCACCACCGCTGAGCAGCTGAGGCTCAGAGGTGAAGTGACGTGCCCCAGGCCCCGCAGGCAGGGCTGGCACTGCGTGAGCACGAGCTCCCCCTGCAGATCTGGGGCACCCTGGGCAGCTGCCCCCCCCACACACACACCGGGGGGTTTGCCCAGCTCAGGCCTCAGCAGCCATGTACAGGACCCGTTTCTGCAGCTACTTGTTGGTCACCAAATGAGGGAGCAAGGGGGGACAGGAACCCGTCGGTCTGCCTGTGAATCCCCCTCCCCATCCCGCCCCCCTCGCCTGTTGTATGAGAGGCCTGTGGTTTGGGGGCTCCCTAGTGCCAGCAAGAGCCAACGCCACGTGCCCGAGGTCAGCCCCAGGTTGGTCAGAGCACCCAGCTCACGTCTCTGCTGCTGCCCAGGATCCAGCACACGTGGGGACACCCGGCCGTCCTGTCCTGGACGCTCCTGGCCATGTTCCCTGAGGCCTGGACACTTGGGGGCTGAGGGCTGCCTGCTCCTGCCCTGGGGGCCTGGGCCGCGAATCCAGCCAGCTCTGTCTCTTCCCAGGCCGCAGCCGTACCGGACACTCAAGGAGTCGGACAGCGCGGAGGGCGAGGAGGCGGAGAGTCCGGAGCAGCGAGTGCGGGAGCCCCTGGGCCCTGGCCCAGCTCCCCCTGACCGCGCCGCCAGCATCGACCTCCTGGAAGACGTCTTCAGCAGCCTGGACATGCAGGCCCCACTGCAGCCACTGGGCCAGGCCAAGAGCTTGGAGGATCTTCGGGCCCCCAAAGACTTGAGGGAGCAGCCAGGGACCTTCGACTATCAGGTACAGCGCGGGCCCAGGAGACGGGACTGGGGGAGCTTGCTTAATGTGAGGCAGGGCCCCCGTACGACCGTGCAGGAGGCTGAGGCTGAAGCAGTGACTCTCCCAAGGGCCACAGCCGAGGCTCAGGGTCAGGCTGACTGCAAACCGCACCCTGACGGTGAGCGCTGTGGAAGCTGCTAGAACCTGCTGGACAGTGCTCCAGCCCACTGTCCCCTGGGCCCCCAGGCCAGCCTTGGCCCTGGCACCTGTGCCCACCGTGCCTCCCTGGAAGAGCCGTGCAGTGAGCCCTGCCACTGTGCCTGCTGAGCCACTGCACCCCCTCTCCGTGCCTCAGTTTCCTGCTGACTTGGTGGTCCCTGGGTCACACTGTGCAATTCACAAAGCTCCCACCCGACCCCAGCACTCAGAGCAGGGCCCCCCAGCCTGGGTGTGACACAGCCCTGCTTTCTCCCCGCCAGGGTGCATGGGACCAGGCCCTGAGCCCCCCTCACCACGCCCTGAGAAGTAGGAAAGTTGGGCCCGTGGACGGCCAGGAGACGGTGGCATCCGTCTGTGCCAGGAGTGGGGAAAGCCTGGGTGGGAGCCCGGCCGGCTCTGGTTATCTGCCTGGTGCCCTGGGGTGGCTCCCCAAGGCTGCAAGTCCCCAGAGAAGAGGGTGGGAACAGGTGCACACTGTCCCCCATCTGTCCCTGGTCAGCCTGCAGCCACTGCTTCCCTCCCAACAGAGGCTCGACCTGGGCAGGAGCGAGAGGAGCCTCGGGATGGCGATGGCCCTGAAGCTCGCCCACCCCTACAGCAAGCTGTGGAGCCTGGGCCAGGACGACATGGCCATCCCCAGCAAGCCCCTGGCCGCCTCCCCCGAGAAGCCCTCAGCTCTGCTGGAGAGCTCCCTGGCCTTGCCCCGCAGGCCCCAGGGCCGGGACAGCGCCCTGAACCCCAGCGAGAAGGAGGAGGTGCCCACCCCGACTCCAGGCAACATCACCATTCCCCGACCCCAGGGCAGGAAGACCCCAGAGCTGGGCATCGTGCCTCCACCACCCATCGCCCGTCCAGCCAAGCTCCAGGCCGCCAGCGGCCTTGCTCTCGGGGACTTCTCGGAGCGGCCGCCGCCGATCGATGGAGAAAGGCGAGCCCTGTTCCCGGGGCTCCTCCCCAACGCCGCCCCCCAAGGCCCCCCTGAACTGCTGCAGCCGCTCAGTCCGGCCCCAGGAGCTGTGCCCACAGGCAGCGACGCCCTGCTGGCCCTCCTGGACCCACTTAACACAGCCTGGCCAGGCACCCTCCCGCCACGTCCTGCCGCCCCCAACACAGCCACCCCCTTCACCCCGCAGTTCGGCTTCCCCACCGCGGGGACCCCCTCCCCGTTCCCACAGCCGCCCCTCAACCCCTTTGTCCCACCTGTGCCAGCTACCCCACCCACCCTGCCACTGCGTTCCCTGGCGCCTGGGCCTTTCGGGGTCCCACCTGCCTCCCTGGGGCCGGCTTTTGCCCCCAGCCTCCTGCTGTCCAGCTCCGGCCTCTGTGGCCCCCACCGGTCCCAGCCCCACCTGTCCGCCCTCTCCATGCCCAACCTCTTTGGCCAGGGGCCCATGGGTGCCCACACCAGCCCCTTGCAGCCGCTTGGCCTCCCGGCCGCTGCCCCATCGATGATCCGAACGCTGCCCCTGGCCCGCTCCAGCGCCAGGGCTGCTGAGGCCAAGCAGGGGCTGGCGCCAAGGTCTGGAGACCCCCTGCTCCTGCCTCCCAGACCCCCTCCGGGCCCGGAGCCGGCCCTGCAGCCCTCCGCCCCTCACCAGGCCAGGGACCCCTTTGAAGATCTGTTACAGAAAACCAAGCAGGACGTGAGCCCGGCCCCAGGCTCGGTGGAGCAGCTCAGGAAACAGTGGGAGACGTTCGAGTGAGCCCAGGCGGCCCCCTGCCTCCCTGCCGCTGTCTCTGCCCCTCCTCAGTGCCCACGCCCAAGGTCTGGTCCTGGGTGGGGCCGCCCGGCCCATCCCGCCACCACCCCTCAGCACCCGATGGGGTTTTGCACTGGAGAGGTCGGCTGCACCAGTGGTCCCTGGGGGGCAGGGCCGGTGCCCTCTGGAGAGGCCGCCCTCAGCGTGAGCACACGGGCTGGGGGTGCCGGGCGGCCCCCTCCCGGGCTGGAGGGTCTGCTGGCAAGTGGGCAATACACAGTCTCACCCCTCTTGGGAGTCTTCACCCTGACCCCCCAAACTCCATGTGGCTTGGTAGGGTCTGGGGTGCCGAGGACCCTTAAGGCCCAAGGGACTGCACCGCAGACAGCCCCGCGTGGGGCCGGTGGCACCAGCAACTGGGACTTGCAGCAGCTGACCAGACGCCCCCAGAGCCGAGCCGGGAGGTGGGGCCTCGGGCAGGGCCAAGCAGCACAGACCCAGGTCCAAGTGGTGAGCTGCAGGCGGACATGGGAGGCACGGCTGCCCGGCTCCAGGCCCCCGTGCAGTGGACGGCCGAGGCCCCGCCCCGCCCACGCCGAGCGTCTCGCCAGCACAGAAATTCCTGAGGCCAACGTCACCAAAGTTAAATTGAAATGTTGTTATTGTTTCTTTCATCTTTCTTTTCCTCTTCGCTTTATTGATTTGATGAATCTTGAAACGGACTCCTTTCAATAAACCAGGTTACAATACGGCCCAACCACGTAAGAAAACAACATCTGAGACGTGCAGGAAATTGGGAGCATTTTGACCTGATTTCTCATTTCCTATTCGTCAGTGGTCAGACCCATCTCCCCAGGGGCGTCTGACGGGGACCGGGGGTCCCTTAGGTCCCCTTGACCCCAGGGAGCTGCTGTGTGTCCGGTTGCTGGTGCAGCGGGCCAGCCAGGCCCCGCCGACCCTGGTCACCCGTGACCCTACAGGACAGGCCACCCCTCCTGGTCTCCAGCGTGTTCTCCAGCTGCCGGGGCCCTGTGCACCCACCCTGATACTCAGGTATTTCGGCTGCACCCCTCCCCATTGGGGGCACACCCCCCCAGACCCCATTAGGGACAGGGCAGTGCCCCCTGTGGGGCAGAGACTGGAGGGGCCCCAGAGCAGCAGAGTGCACCCCACAGTCCCCTGGCTGTCTGGGGAGCAGGTGCCCCACATTCACAAGATCACGGCTGCCTCTTCACTCGCTGCATTGACCCCTGCATGTTCAGTGAGACCTGTGTCCTTGGGGAAGGGAGGCCCCGGGTAGGCCTCAGCCGGCCTCACCAAGGAGGCCAAGGGCAAGGCACTTAGGGAAGGGCCAGCCCCCGGCCGGCCCCCAAGTCCACGCCCACTCAGGGCTCTAAGCCAGCTCACCCCCTAGGACAGGAGGGATGGGTTGCTGACACCTGCTGGGACCACACTGTTGCGATCCCCCAGGGCCCCAGCAAAGAACAAGGTCAAGTGGACACCTGGAGAGTCGCCCCACAGAGCTCCCACTGGCCAGCACAGAGCCTTGGCCTCCCTGTCTTTGAGATCTGTCCATCCACAGAGGCCACCACACCCCCAATCTGGCCCCCCTTCCACCCCCCACCCCCCCCCCGCTAGAAAGCAACCAGCTCTTAGCGACAGGAGGGTGCTTCCGAGCGGTCAGGGAAAACAGCACCAAAAGACCAGCTGCTTTTTGGTGCAAAAATGAAGTCTGAAATCCACGCACAGGTTTCTCCTAATACCGGTCCCTCATGAGCTTTCTGGAGACCCCACGTATGCCAAATCCCTGACCCCCACAATCCCAAGGAAGCAGCGTGTTGGTCCCAGGTGCGGCCCCTGCCCCAGGGATGCAGAGCCTCTCAGGGTGGCCTTCAGCCCCCCCCAACCCTGTGCATTCTGGGAGCCAGGGAGGACTGGCCTTCCTTTCAAAGAGTAAAGAACTCTCCTGGCCTCAGCACATGGAGCCCGCGGTCACGGGAGGCACTGGCCTGGGACACAGGCCGGGGACAGGAGGACTCCTTGAAGGCCAGGTCAGCAGGCAGGGGTCCTCTGGGGCCCAAGGTCTCCGTGCCGGCCCTGGCCGTGCTCTGCAGGCCCAGTCCACACAGGGCACCTGGGCTCAGCAAGGCGTCCTCTGCTCCTCTCCCCAAGTCCCCCCACGGCCGTGCACTGGGCGCCTGGACAGTGCCCAGGTGAGTCGGGGGCTGGTGGTGGGAAGGCTGTCACCTCCTCGCCTGCGCTAGCCTCCTTGTCAGGCCCCAGGAAGGCCCCTTATCCACCCTCTCCAGGGAAGACGCCACAAAGGACAAGGACACTGTGAGGTAGGCAGGGGCCCACAGCGGGCGGGAAAGCTCCGGGCAGCCCTCCTCTGTGGGGCAGGGCGGGCTGTGGCCCCCGCGTGTGTGTGGCCCCCGCGTGTGTGTGGCCCAGGGCCCGGGCAGTAAAGGAACTGCGTTCACCAGCCAGGAACCCGCACAGCTCCAGGAATGGCCTGCCCCAATTTCCCAGCTGCCTCTGGGGCAGGGGCGGCCCCAGCCAGGGGAGAAGACCCAGGGGTGGGAGCCCTGGTGCCTGGGGGAGCCCTGGCCTGGCCTCCCGGAAGCTGTAAAGGTTGTCACACGTGCACCTGCTGCACTGTCACATTCACATACAGCACGAGAAGGAGCCTGGCACACACGTGCACACACACACATGCGTGCCCTCCCACGCGCATCCTGCACCTGCCCCGGCAGACCCGGCGGTCAGAGGAAGACCTCCACAACCCCGCCAGGCCCCTCTCCGCTTCCCTGAGTTACTCCTTTTCCCCGGCCCACGGCGGGAAGGGGCAGGGGCTGCCAGCCGAGGGGGGCCGTCCCCAGCAGGTGTCCCGGGGTAGAAATGCTGCAGGCCCTCCGTGTAGCCGGGCCAGCCTAGATGAGTCTCTCCTCGGGCGGCACCTTGAGGACGCTGTCCATCTCCAGCCGGGCCCCGGCCACCTCCTGCTGGCTCGGGCTGTAGGTGCCCTCTGACTGGCGCCGCTTTCTGGCGGCCAGGATCCCCGAGAGGAGGCCCAGGAGGAGGAGGAGGAGGCAGGCACAGGCCGCAGGCACCACCACCTCCAGCAGCGGGAACGGGAGCGGCAGGGGCAGGCCCTTCTGCAAGAGAGGCATCAGTGAGGACGGGGCCGGGGGCGGGGGCGTGGGTGGAGGAAGTGGGCGCACAGGGACGCGAGGGGACCAGAGCTGGGAGCAGGCTTCCCACTGAGTGCTAGCAGGTGCAGCAGCCCCTGTCAGAGCCAGCGAGAGGGCCCTGGACAGAGACCAGACACCACCTGCAGCGAGCTGGCACCGTGCACGAGATTTCATGGGGCCCTAGAAGGGTCTGCAGGGCAGCAGCCGGGCAGCCAGCATTGGCCCGGGGCCAGCCTGCCTGCGGGGGCGGCTCTGAGCCAGGGCTGGGAGAGCTGAGTGTGCCCGCCTGGGAGACCAAAACCTCCCTGTCCCCCATCACAGAGCCCAGTGCCTGGAACGCCGAGGTCCCAGAACCCCCAGATTCCAGAGCCACAGGGCTCACACCTCACCTCCAGACCGCCAGGCCCAGCCACGGCCAGATGTAAGGAAAGTCCGTCCCACCTCTAGGTGGCGCTCGCCAGCCTCCACCCAGGGCACTCCTGGGGGCGGGCGCCGGAGCCATCCCCCAACCCCCTCCCCCACCCGGGCCCTGGAAGGAGGCTATAAAAACTGCAGCTTGCAAGGAGGCGGCGCGATTGGCTGTTTATGACCGGGGCTGTCTGTAGCCTGTGGAGATCAAGGCTGCGCCTTCCCGCCGACACCCACCACGGGCCCTGCCCCTCCAGGCTGCAGGGACTGCCTTGGTGGGGGCCCAGCTCCCACCCTCCTCCTCCTCCAGACCCCCCCGGAACCCTCGCAGACCAGAGCTCACAGATTCACCACCCCAATTCCTGTGACTCCAGGATCCTCCCAAGATCTGGGGAGCCCTGAACCCCGGGGCCAGGACAGACTTGGCAGAGCCCGGTGTCACCGCAGGGAAGGCCCCGCCCCGTGCCCGGCTCCTGCTGGTGGGTGGGGGGAGCCCAGAGTGCTCCCTAGGGTGGAAGTTCTCCCTCGGCGGTGTAGGAGGGACCTGACTCTCGGTTCCCACCGCCGTCCATCACACCAGACCTGGCCCCGGTGCAGGACACTGCCCGCCCCCACCCCGACCCCGCTACAGTCCCTGCAGGACAGGGTCAGGGGTCGGCCCTCGCTGCGCGTCACTCACCGCCACCTCACAGAAGCGGCCGGAGAAGCCGGCGCTGCAGATACATTCGGATGCCCCGCCAGCCGCCTGGCACGTGCCCCCGTTCAGGCACGGGTTGGCGTCGCACGGGAGGACAGGCACCCGGCACCTGGGGAGGACAGGGGGCTGAGAGAGCGCCCCCCCGGGTGCTCCAGCTCCCCAGACCCCACCCCAAACAAGACTCAAAGCAAAGGCAGGTGCCCGGGGAGGCCGACTCTGCCACCTGCACTCTTCCAGTGTCCCACACAGGTGGGCCGAGACAGGGGGCTCTAAGCAGGACCACCAGGCAGGTGTCTTCACAACAGTGGCCTGGGAGCACCAGAGGCAGAGAGCCCACATGACAATGGCGCGCACACACACACACACACGCACACACACACCCGGTCCCTGGCAGCAGGGGCCCCAGGGACTTGGCCCGCCCACTCAGCAGCCCACCTCCCAGCACGCCAGCCCTCAGACCCACCTGGGGCCAGCCAAGTCCTCGGGGCAGCTGCAGTTGGTGGCCTGGGGCCCAGCCTCACAGGGGCCACCGTCGAGGCAGGTGATGTTCAGGCTGCAGCCCTCGGCCAGCACAGGCACGCTGGGAAGAAAGCAGAGGGGCTGGACAGGGCTGGAGGCTTGGCCGCAGGGGGCCTGGCCCACCTCCACGCAGGCAGCCAGGGGACCTGAGGCTCCTGTTCCCACCAGTGGAATTCAGGGCCCAGCTTCTAGACACCCGTCGTCAGCCAGGAAGCCAGGTCGGGGTGGGAGGGAGGTCCCAGGGCTGCCCGCCACCCTGCTGCTCCAGCCCCACCCACAAGGCCGCCAGGACCTCTGGACCAAGGGCCAGGAGCCCCTGGACACAGAGGTTCAAAGAAGAACAAACCAGGAACCCGCAGCCCAACCAGCCTCCCGCGCCTCCCTGCACGCACCTGCAGCGCGGGCCCGCGAACCCGGGCGGGCAGCGGCACTCGAAGCGGCCGTCGGGGCGTGCGTGACAGCGGCCACGGGCGCAGGGCGCCGAGTGACACGGGTCGGCCCGGGCCTCGCAGCGTGGGCCCTCCCAGCCGGGGCCGCAGGCGCAGGCGAAGGCGTCGAAGAGGTCTCGGCAGGCGCCGCCGTGCAGGCAGGGCGAGGGCTCGCACACGGGCGCGCTGCGGCAGCCGGGGCTCGGGCCGGGTGTCCCGGGCCAGGCCGCGAAGTGCTCCCGGGCTCCTGGGCCCACGCCGGGCCGCGGCCTCGCCAGAGGCAGCGGGAGGCCGCCGAGCGCCACGCGGCCCAAACAGCCGGTGAAGTTGTCCGCCAGCAGCAGGCGCGCGCCGCCGGGGCCCCGCAGGAAGCCCAGGTCGCCGGCCAGGCCGTGCAGGAGCAGGGGCGTCGCCGCGCCGTCCCACCAGAGCAGCCAGCGCGAGGCGGCGGCCGCGGGCCGTTCCATGGCCAGGCGCACCCGGTGCCAGGCGCCGTCGGCCACATGCGGCCCGGGCGCGGGCAGCACGGCGCCGGGCAGGCCCGGGCCACTGCGCACGCCGGCCGCCAGGGATCCGTTGCGCACCTCCAGCCAGACGGTGGCGGCGTGGGCGCCCGCAGCGGCGCGCAGCAAACCGGCCTCCGTGTCGCGCGTGCGGAAGGCGAGCGAGAGGCCGCTGAGCGCGCGCCCCGAGGACACGTTGCGCCCGCTGAACTCTGCCGGGGGGCCCTCGCGGAACGTGGCCTCGGCCACACCTGCACAGAGAAGGAGACACGGGGCGTGGTCCGCAGGCGCCCTCGCCAGGGCTGCCCACCCCTCCCGAGCCGGTAGCTGCGGCCCCTGCTGCGGGCGTAAAAACCCTCCCTGGGCTCCCCACAGCCCTGGGCCACTCAGAGCGCCAGGCCCGCCACTCAACGCCTCGGCTGGCCTCCCCAGCCCACTTCCTGCTGCAACCCCTCCCTGCACTTGGATTTCCGCTGGCCTGCAGACCTCAGGACCCTTGCCTATGCTGTTCCCTACTCCCGAAATCCTGTGGCCTCCAAAGATCACTCGCTCTGGATACAGTGCCCTCCCCCCTAACCCTCCGCTGTCCAGCACCCACCACGTGGCGGCTCAGGGTCAAACTCACAGACAAAGCCATCGGGAACCTCCTCACAGGTGGCAGGGGGGAGGCAGGGCTGGCCAGGGCACCACAGCTGCTGGGCACAGGTGGGCCCTGTGAAGTTGTCAGGACAGGTACACTGGAAGTCATTCCAGGTGACAAGGCAAGTCCCACCATTGAAACAGGGGTTGGGCTGCGGGAGAGTCGGGCAGGGGTCAGCGCGGGCCTGAGTTAGCGTCTCCCCCACCAGAGCCGTCAGTGCAGGGGTCATCCACGACAGACCGTGACCGCCTCGCGGGGGTCGGGGGAGTCACTGCCATCCCATTTTACAAATGAGGAAACTGAGGCACCCAGCCGGGAAAGAGGGAACAAGAATTCACGGCTGAACTATCCCAATTCCAGGGCTGGTGCTTCCTTCAGGAAACCGCGGGTGTCCCTGTGCCCCGGGGGGCCCCCGAGGAAGGGCTCGGGCAGCGCTCTGGGCCAGCCCAGGACGGGTCAGGGTCAGGGTCAGCGCAGCCGGCTGAAGAGGAAGTGAGTGCAAATCCCGCTCTGCTGCTGTCCAGCAGTGGGACCTCAGGCAGGGTCACCGCCTGGGCCGTGGCTTCCTCCCAGGAAACGGACACGCGGGGAAGGGCGTGGGGAAAGCACTCACGCTGCACACGTCCTCGGAGACGCAGCCCACCGTGAGGTTCCGGGCCTGCCGGCCGTCCAGCTCCCCAGGCCGACTCGAGTTCTCCAAGCGCGGGGGAAAGAAGGGGAGGCGGAGGTCGTTGAGCCGCAGGTCCTGCAGGCAGCCTCGGAAGCGGCCGCCCCAGGCCTGGGCGTCGGCAGGCAGGAGCCTCCCGCCCACGTGCACCTGCCGCCCTAGGCCCTGCAGCTGGTCGGGTCCGAAGCTGAGCGTCGCCAGACGGCGCTGCCCGTCGTCCCAGCGTCCGGGGAGCACCACGGGAGGACCGCCTGGCACCTCGGCCCGGATCCGGCCCTCGCTCAGGAACACGGTCAGGCTGGTGGCTGAGTCATTGGCGAACTGCAGCAGCAAGCCAGCCGGCTCCCGCGTGCGGAGGAGGAAGGACACGGTGAGGTTGGGGCCCGGGGGCTCGGGCAGCAGGAAGGAGGCCGAGCTCGGGGTGCCCGCCAAGCCAAAGGTGGCAGCAGGAACTTCTGCAGGGAGAGACGGCGTCGGTGCAGGCCCGCAGCCGAGCAGGTGCCGCCCCCACCCCGGGGGGCTCGCTCCTCACCATCTGCGCACGTGGGGCCGCTGTGAGGCCGGGGGCAATCGCAGCGGAAGTGGGTCCACAGGTCCACACAGGCCCCTCCGTGGGCACAGGGCAGAGGCTGGCACTGCTCTCGGCGCGCGCACCCCACGAGCACGTTTCCGGCCAGCGCCTCCGGCGGCAGGAGGCGCCCGTCCACGTGCACGTCCTGGAGGCAGCCCGCAAAGACGGCGCCGCCCAGCTGGACCGAGCAGGGGCCCTCAGGCACTGGGGCCACGGAAGCCGTAGGGGGCAGGGCCACGGGGCCGGAGGCCACACAGAGCCGGGCGGGGCAGCCCTCATGCCACAGGCGCAGCTCCAGGCTCCCCGGGCGGGGCGCCACCTCCACCGGGTGCCAGCGGCCGTCGTTCAGGGCGAGATCCGGCAGTCTCAAAACGAGCGCAGAGGTGCCGTGGCGCCAGAGTGTGGCCCGCAGGGTCGCCCCCTGCAGCGCCAGCTCCAGGCTGTCCTGGGTGTCGGTGCGAGTGGCCAAGACCCCAGCTGGCAGCGTGGTGCGAAACCTCAGTGCCAGCCCTGGGGGGCCACCGGCCGGCACTGCGGCACGCACGGGGCTCCCGGCCACCACGGAGAAGGTGGTATTCTGGTCACACGCAGGTCCGTGAGTCCCAGGGGGGCAGCGGCACACAAAGCTGTGGACCCCAGACTCGAAGGAAGGGACGCAGGTGGCGGCCGGCGGGCAGGTGTGGCCCCGGCAGCCAGTGAGCCGCACGGCGCAGTCAGGCCCGCCCCAGGCCTCCGGGCACCAGCAGCTGTAGCCCGCCACCGCGTCCTCGCAGCGTCCGCCGTGGAGGCAGGGCTCCGACAGGCACTCGTCCACGTCCTCCTCACACGTGACGCCTTCGGGAGAGAGCACCGAGGCTCAGGGGCGCCCAGGGCTAAGGCACGGCCTCAGCCCCGGCTGTCCCGCCGCGTACGGCGGGGACCCCAGAAGCTACAGCCAAAGCCGCTGCCATTTCTCCCGCCCCTGAATCCCAAATCCAAATCCCTTGCGGCGTCTCCTGTGGACTTGGCCCCCGGCCCTCCCACCCCCACTTCCTACCCGGCCAGCTCGCGGGGTGCAGTCTATGGTTCGCCTATGTTCCGAAGCTCACCCCCGCCCCGCCCGGCTCCACCAGGAACCACACATTTCTATTTCTAAAGCAGTACCCAGCCAGCTTCCTCTCCTGCTAGAGGTCCCCCCCAACACACACACACACACACACACACACACACACACACTGCAATGGGTTGAGCCATGCCAGGCTCTCAAACCCCAACCCTACTCCCTGCAAACCTTGAACTGCCCATCTCTAAGCATTTCCTAGAAAATCTCTGTTTTGCTCATTCTGTTCTCCCTGCTTGGAAAGCCTCATCCTCCCTTGCCTGGCCTTCAAACTCCTATTCATCCTGCAAAACCCAAACCCAAAGGGCCCAGAGGCTCTCCCCGACTACCAACCCCCGACTACCATGTCACTGTTCAGTCCCAGGCACAGCTCCCCGCCCCCGGCATGGAAGGAGTCCGTTTATCCAGCTGGGGTCTCCTTCAGGGGCGTACCTATGTGCCCAGCAAAGGGCCTGGCATGGAGGCATGAGTGGGGCTGAACACACGCATCACGGGCATCGTGAGGAGCCCGCGGCTTCTCACCCTCCGTCCTGCTGCCCCGGGCCCCTCACTGGCTCTCAGGGGCCACCTCTCGTCACCTCCGGGAGCTCCCACCAGGTGCTCGGACCCCAGCTTGCATCAAGGGGCCATTGTCCCGACCCCAGCTCAGCTCACAAAACAAGCCAAGGCCCACCCTCCCCCCACATCCCAGCCAGAGGAACCCAGGCCCCAGATAAGCCACTGGGATTTGAAGCCTGGTGCCAGGCACCACACGCACACCACAGCCTCCTCCTGGCACCCCAACCCCCACCCCCGCCCCCACCAGGGCCCCCAACCCTCCGTACCTGCCAGGACCCACAGGCTCCCCAGGAGGGCCCACAGAGCCATTGCACACCCCCATGGACCGGCCGGGTGCTCCCTGCCTGACCTGCTGCCTCCTGCCCAGCCGGCTCAGGAATGCCAGGCACCGGCCTCCCCCACACCCGGCGTGGCCCACAGGGAGGACGGGCAAGGAGCCCAGCCCCACAGCCCGGGTCCCCACCCCGGCCTGACCTCACGGAGCTGCCCTCCCTGTCCCCGGCCCGCTGGGCCCACAGCTGGGTTCCCGCTAGAACCTGGGGGTGGCGTCCCTCCCTCTCCACGCCTCCATGGCCTCCTCTGGGACACAGGGATTTTTAAGCCCCCACAGTTCAGGGCCGGACACCCCTGATGGCAGGACTCCCGGGGCAGGGCCTAGGGAACCGGGGCCCTCGGGGGCAGTGCACGGCAGAGGACGCTAAGCCCTGACGTCCCTGGTGGGGGAGGGCAGGAAGGATGGTGATGAGCACCCCTCCTTCCCGGGGCAGGGGCCCGGGTGCCCAGCAGCCTGCCTGGGAGAGGGGCCGGCGGGCTGGAGCAGGAATGCAGGCGGCTGTGGGGGAGGCGTCCTGGGCATTCCAGAGCGGGCAGCCCCCCCCCGGGGGGGGGAGTGTGAGCTGCTCCTGGGCTCGCCAGTGTCCGTGTGTCTGAGCGGCTGCCTGTCCCCGAGGGAGGGAGACACTGCCTGCACTTCCACCCAGCGGGCCCCAGCCTCAGCCCAGGACCCCCAGCCTGACTCCCCCAGAGGCACACTCAGTCCACTGTAAGAGCTGAGCTCTCCCGGGCAGGGCCTCCCCAGCACCCCGACACCTCCCACCCACCCCACGCCCCCTCTCTCTCACCTCCCAAGCTCAGACCCCGGCTGAGCCCCACCCAGCTGTCACCTGGGCCACCGCACCCGCCTCCTCCCCCTTCTCCTTGTCCCCGTCACCAGCTCCGCCCTGTCCCAGCGCCCGCCCCACCCTGGGCACCTGCGAAGCCATCCGGGCAGTGGCACCGGAAGCCACTGGGCAGGTCCTGACAGCGGCCCCCGTGGAGGCAGGGTCGCGACGCACACTCATCCATGTCCACGCTGCAGTCGGCCCCTGCAAGAAGCCCAGCTGCGGCTCCCACCTGCACCCTCCGGGCAGACCGGGGCTGAGAGGGGCCACTTTAGAGCTAGGGAAACCGAGGCCCGGAGGGAGGCTGACTCAGGGGCCACGCCCTGCCCCCATGGCTCCCTGGGCATCGGGACTCTGGCTGACCGCTCCCCCAGCAGGGGGCTCACCCGCAAAGCCGGGAGGGCAGTGGCACAGGAAGCCCGCGGCGTGGCGGAAGCTGAAGGCCCCGGGGAAGGCGGCCTGGGCGCCCCCGTAGAGGGCCGGGTCGGAGCGCTGCAGGCACCGGCCGCCGTGCTGGCAGGGGGCCGCGGCACACTCGTCCTCGTCCACCTCGCACCGCTCGCCGCTGTAGCCTAGGGGCACACACACGCGCGCAGGTCACAGGGACCACCAGGCCGGCCCAGGATCCCGTCCCCAAGGGTGAGTGCGGGCGCGGAGCGGGCAGGGGAGGCGGGCGGCAGTGGCCGCGGCCGGCTCCAGCCTCAGCAGCTGCGTCGCGTGACCGCTGTGCCCAGCACTACTGCGCCGGGCCTGTGCCACGTGCTTCCGGCCACTTGGCTCCGCCCAGCGCCCCGGGAGCAGGTGCTGCTCTCAACCCCACTTTGCAGGAGACCCCAGGCCTACACAGTTGCGGGCCTCCGGGGTAGGGCATGCGCAGAGTGGCCCACCTGCCCGGCCGCGCTCCCGGGGCGCGCGCGCACACCTGGCCAGCAGAGGCAGCGGAAGTTCCCGAGGCCCTCGAGGCAGGACGCGTTGTTCGCGCAGGGCGCCGACGCGCACTCCAGCACCTCCTGCTCGCAGCGCGCGCCCTCGTAGCCCGTGCCCGCGCAGTCGCACCGGAACCTGCGGCGGGCGGGCGCGCGGCCTGGTCTGAGCGTGTGCCCGCGCCCACGGCCCCCACCCAGCCCACCGCCCGGCCGCCCCACTAGGCCGCCCGCTCACCCGTTGACCAGGTCGTGGCACGCGCCCCCGTGTGCGCACGGCTGACTCTGGCACTCGTCGAGGTCCAGCTGGCAGCGGGCACCCCCGTAGCCCGGCGTGCACGCGCAGCGGTAGGAGCCCACGCCGTCCAGGCACGAGCCCCCGTGCAGACAGGGCGCCGAGGCGCACTCGTCCACCTCGGCCTCGCAGGTCACGCCTGGACAGGGGCCGAGGACACGGACAGAGAGGTGGGCACCCGCAGTGGGGCAGAGGAGAGCCCCCTCATGGTGCCAAGGAGCTGCGTGTGGGGCTCAGACTCGGTTGGTTCATGCCTTGGGACCAGGTGTTTCTAACGGCAGCTAGGGCTGTAGGTCGCAAGCAGGTGGACATCCCTAACTTGGCGGAGCTCACAGCAGCCTGGGCCAGAAGTCGGGGTTCCGCCAGTGATGGTGCAAACGAGGACTGGGGATTGCTGTGTGGCTAAGCTCCAAGGGAGGAATCGGACCCGTGATTCTGGCTGGTCTGGGGAACTGGCAGTCAGGAGGGCTCCTTGGAAGAAGAGGCGTTTGAAGCCTTGGAACAGGGGACTGTGGGGAGTAGCTGGGCTCCGGAGAGGCAAGCGCTACTCGGAGCAGGAACGAGGCCTGGGCCGGGGCGGGGGTGGGGCAGGTAGCAGACTCCACGCCCCCTGAGGGTGTAGGGAGGAGGGGTGAGCGCGGCAGGAGACCCTGGGCCAACCAAGCTCTGAGCTTGCAGGCAATGGCTTGGCTTTAAAAAAAAGTCCCCAGGCAAACAGGGACAGCTCAGGGAACCAGAGGCTCAGGGTTTGCAGACACCCCGCCTGGGGTCATCGTGGAGCTCGCGTGTCATTGTGTCTCCAGTGGGCCCTACCCCGGCTGTATGTGGGTGTGGTCACGGGGGTGGGGCGCCCAGCAAGCTGCAGCCGGCACCCTCCTCCTCCAGCGTGGTGAACCCGAAACACGGCCCCTCCTCCTTCCCACGACACCTCCAGGCCCACTCCCACCCTCTGTGCCAGGGGGAGCCAGGCCCAGGCCGCCTGGAATCCCAGCCCCCCCCCCCCCCGCTGGAATCAGGAGGAGGAGGAGAGCAATGAGTCACGGAAGAGCTGCCCTGTTCCCATCCACGGCTCATGGGAAAAGTTACTCACAGGGGCGCGGGCGCACCTGCTGCCCCTCACACGCATGCATTCGGCAAAGACACATTCGGAGGAACCGGACCCCCTGAGAGACCAGCAGACACAAGGCCCTTGGAGCTAGGAGACACACGACTCGACCGTACACAACACACATCCAGACTTCGAGACACCCCGGGCGCACCCACCGGGAACTCGCCCCCCAGTCTGTGCCCCTCATCCTCAGAGCAGAATTGTCTGAATTCAGGGCTGACGCTGGAACTCGGCCTGTCTGCCCCTGGCAGCCTCACTCCCAGACTCGTCCCGAGGGCTGTGCCCTCCTTAGGCCACCGCAGTGTCAGGCTCAGCTGCTCCTGCCCCGGAGCGGGGATGGAGCTGGGAGGAGCCAGGGGTGCATCCTGGCTGTGACTTTGGGGGAATCCCCAGAGGGGCGGGGCCGTGTCAGCTCCTGAAGCGTCAGATAAGCCAGCCAGTGCCCACAGGAGAGCCTGGCCCCAGGTCAGGGGTGACTGAGTCACCGGTGAGCAGCAGCCGCCATCCCAAGCCCAGGCCTGGAAACAGCCCAGAGCTGTCGCGATGCCGGGGGCAGCCCAGCAAAGATCAGAGCTGAATCCTGCTCTGAGCCGTGGATGGCACTGCCATCCCCACTCCCACCCCCGGGGCGGCCCCGCCAGCCGGTACCTGCATAGCCCAGGGGGCAGTGGCACTGGAAGCGGTCGGCCAGGTTGCGGCAGGTGGCCCCGTGGTGGCAGGGCTGGGATGCACACTCGTCAATGTCCAGCTCGCATTGCGGGCCCTGGAAGCCAGGCACGCAGTAGCAGCGGAAGCCGTGAGGATCTGGACCGTGGGGCACACACAGAGCGCCGTGGTGGCAGGGCTGGCTGGCACAGCCCCGGGGCTCTGCGGGCCCACAGGTGTAGCCGCCGCTGTCCGTGGCCTGGCACTCGGTTCCTGGGGCGCATGGGTCTGAGGCACAGGCGCTCTGGGTCTCTGAGGGCGCTGTCCCTGTAGAAAGAAGAAACCAGCTAGGCAGGCGGGAGCTGTAAGGACACCTGCTCCCTGCAGCCCGGAGGCCACCCCTAGACCCCAGGAGGCAGCATGGGCGCCCCCAGACCCAGAGGATGGATGGGCCCAGGGCGTGCCCTGGGGAAGGGGCTACTCGCTCAGCTTCCACAAGCTGCTCACGTCCACGCCAGAGCCAGCTGCCGACGCAGGCAGTTGTGGACGGAGCAGAGAGATGGGCCCGGGGGTGCCGGGCTCACCCAGGGCAGGCTTAGGGGCAAAGGCTGTGAGTGTGGCGGGGTGGGCGGGGACTGTCAAGAGCGCGAATGGAAGCTCCAGGAAGTCACCCAGCTGTCACCCAGGAAGTTAGCACTGGGATGCGCCTCCAGGTCCGTGCAGGGTCGGCAGCCCCAGCAGGGGCGGGGGGCTTCCTCCCCCTCCCCTCCACCGCTCCCACTGTGGGTCTGGTAACTCCATCCCCGTGTGAAACTGGAGATGTCACGACCTCAGTGTTGCGGGACAAGGCCGGCTGGATGACTTCAAAGGCAGGGGCCATGTGCCCAGCCCCTGTCACCCCAGCCCTCCTCTGCCTTGCCCCGCTGGTCCGGGAGCCTCTGCAGGGATCCCTAGTGCTGGTCGGGGTCGCTTGGTACAATGCAGGCAGGGACACCTGCTCGCTGGCCACCTGACCCAGGTCACTGCCCACAGCCCCACTACACGCCCGCTGCTTTGGAAGCTGTCGCTGTCGCGTGCAGGGAGGAACTGAGACTTGGAGTGAAGCAGGGTGGGCTCAAGTCCTAGCTCAGAGACCTCGGGCTGGTCATTCCTCCTCCCCGTCTGAAAAGGCGATGATGACAGGACACACTCCTCGCTCGTAGCACAGAGCGTCCCAGCTCAGGTGCTGCGGTCAAGTGGCCGCTCCTCCCAGCAACGCCGTGAGCCCCTCCCCCACCCAGGTTGTCATCCAGACACTACCCAGGCCCTAGAACAGTGCAGGCCCTGCGCTGTCCCCTCCCCCACTCTGGTGAAGACCCCCGATAAGGCTGACAGCCTCTCTGGCGTCATTCACATTCCTCCAGTCCACTGGCCCCAGCCCCCACCCCACCCCACCCCGCCCCCACTGCAAGCCAGGCACTAGATGAGATGGGGAGACACCCGCTTGGCTGTCCAGCCCCACCCCTCACCTCCACACAAGCCCATTCCTCAGATCCCTGGACAGGGCCCTGGACACCCATCAGGGCTGGTCCAGAGCAGGGCATGGAGGCTCTGACCGCCATCAGTCAAGGGGATGTCCACCGCCCACACTCCCTTCCCCAGCTCAGGACATCGGCTCCGGCCTGACCCTAGGGGTGAGGGCACAGGGCCTCTGGGCCTCTCTGAGGGGCTATGGGCAGCAATCAGGAGTCTTATCCCTCCAGGCTAGACCATCTGCTGGGGTGGAGGATGGCCTGAAGAAGGTGGGAGGGTGTCTTATGGGGGAGGGTGTCTGATGGGGGTGGGTGATAGGTTGAAGAAGGTGGTAGGGTGTCTGATGGAGGTGGCATGATGGTCTGATGGGGGAGGATGATGGTCTGATGGAGGAGGGTGTCTGATGGGGGAGAATGTCTGATGGGGGAGGATGTCTGATGGAGGAGGGTGTCTGATGGGTGAGGATGTCTGATGGGAGAGGTTTCTGATGGGGGAGGGTTCTGATGGAGGTAGCATGATGGTCTGATGAGGGAAGGTGATGGTCTGATGGGGGAGGGTTCTGATGACGGTGGCATGATGGTCTGATGGAGGTAAGGATGTCTGCTGGAGGTGGCATGAGGGTCTGATGGGGGAGGGTGTCTGATGGGGGAGGATTCTGATGGGGGAGGAGGACCCCTCTAATGGTATGGGAGTAGACTGAGCCCCCCAGGGAAGGACTCGGGTTTGGGGCACTGTACCTGGGATGCCAACAGTGCCCACACGACGAGGCTGCTGGGAGGTCCCTGTGAAGCCCTGGCACCGGGGAGCCCCCAGGATGGGCCGCAGCCAAGGTGAGCATGGTGTCTGGACCTAGCGGGGCTCAGGGGTCAGGGCCTACGACTTCCCGTGGAGGGCCCTGGCTGCCTCCTGGGGCCACAGGCGCCTTGTTTCACCCCCACAGGGCGCTGCCGTCGCCCTTCCCAACCTTGGGCTTTGCCCCCACTTCAGAGGCCTCCATGTGAGGACAGCCTCATGGAAGCCCGCCGAGCCCTCTCTGGGGTCGGCCTCTCGCGGGGGAAAGGCGGCGCAGGCCCCGCGCCCAGGAATCCGCACGAGGGCACCTCTGCACCTTGACCCCAGCCTCCCAGTGAGCCGGGCCACGCCCCGCTGGGAGGGGCGGAGCTGTCCCCAGGGCCAGGCTGGGGGCGGAGCCTGTTGCCGGAGCAACGAGGGGCCTTGTGCTTATCTTCACAAATCCCTGCTGACCTCTCGGGCTGCCCGGGGCCGACCTGGCCGGGGAGGGATTAGCGGACGCCGACCTGCGCCACTTCCTGCGGGCTACCCCTGCGTCCTGAAAAGGTGGCGGCCGCTGGGGAAGCGTCTGTTTTCTGACCCCAAGAGGCTGATAGCTGGCTGGGGACCGCCCCTGAGAAAGCTGAGGGGTCCTGGGGGAGGGGCTCCTCGTAGGGGCGCCAGCACTGCCCGCCCCAGGCAGCGGGGAGGGAGGGGGAGGTTCAGGGCGGCCTCTGCTGAACCGCTTGTTTGGGACGCCCACGCCCTACATCCCCGTGCTGGTTCCAGTCCTGGCCCCGCTTCTGATTCTGACTTCCTGCTGATGCACACCCTGGGAAGCACGGAGTTGGGTCCCTGCCACCCCCAAGGCCCACCCAGCCTGAGTTCCGAGCCCCAGCCTTGGCAGGCATTTAGTGGGGGGAACCAGCAACGCTGACAGTGATGCGAAGACTCCAGGGCGGGAGACATGGGCAATCCTCTTTTTCAACAATGTTTACACCCCCACCCGCCCCCGAGCCTGACCGGCATACTTTTGATAACGGTAATCAGGCCAGTGAATGTCTCGGACTGAGCACTGGCATAGTCCAGTGTTTCCAAACCGCGGGCTCAGAGCCCTGGGCTGGGGAGTGAGAAGACCGGGCAGGGAAGGGGCGGGACAGAGCCCCAGACTCAGCTGTCCCACTGCTGACTGCCGGGGGAGCCCATGCCTCGGATTCCCTCACACAGGGGGGGGGGGGTGGGGTCGGGGGTTGCGCCAAAACTGAAGCCGGAAGACCACTGCATTTCCACATCGGGTTCTCAGGACAGCGCGAGCAGACCGCGGATGCGACTGTGCGTGCAGGTAGCACCGTGCGCTGTGAAAGATCGGCCCTGCCAGGCACAGGCCCGCTGACTCTGAGGAAGGTGCTGACCGGCCCGGGGCCCCCCTTTCCCTCGTCTGCAGCCCCAGAGCTGACCTAGAACCAGACTGTTGGGAGAATGACAGCCAGCCACGCCGGTCTGGTAGCACCGTGCCTGCCACGCCAGGGCTGGACGTGTGTGGCTTCCCGCTTGTCCCTGCCTCTCTATTGGAGGAGGGGCCAGACATGGAGACTGGGCTCGCAGCCCCTTTGTCTGCTGGGCTCCCTGAGTGTTCATGGAAAGAGGGCTGGGTACGAGAGCCCAGCGTGCCCCATTGTGCCGCAAGATGCTTGGTCTTCTCCATAGCAACCAGCCGGGCTTTTGTGGCAAAGTGAGCCGGGGATGGAGGGCCCAGCTCAGGGCCTGGCAGGGGTGGGCAGCAGAGCTGGGGCCCGGGGCCTCCAGAACCCCCACCCCCTCCTCTTCAAGGGGCCCCGTCGCTGCCTGCCTCTCCTGGTAGGCAGGCCTTAAGCACTGGCATCCAGAGATGGCCATGCCTGCAGTGCCCTACCTCAACTTTTGGGGACCCCCAGGGATGGGACTCCCTGCAGGGCTGGTGCTTTTTGTCTCCCAAGCCTCAAGGGCCCCCCTTGGACTGTGAATGTCTGTGCCCAAGTGCACCCATGTGGCTCGTGTGCACCTGCCGACACCTGTCACGTCATGGTGCGTGGCCTGGCGCAGGCACACAGGTGTGGCTCTGTGTGCATGTGTGTGTGTGTGCACTGAGGACAGGCACCAGATCCACAGGCCAGGGGTTCATGCTCTTTGTGTGCAGAGAGCAGGCCCCCAGCTCCCCTACGAGCCCCAGGGTTGCTGGGGGCAGGGGACAGGGGCCATTCCTAAGTCCCCACCCCTCCCTCATCCTTGGCTTCCTTCACTACAAAACAGGATCCTCATCCTGACGACCCAGGGACCAGGACCAGGAGCCGAGGGCTTCAGAAACTCAGGCACTAAGAGGGGCCAGGCGGTCGGGTAGGGCAGGGACAGGGACTTGGAGCGGCTGCCCGTGGAGCTCAGAGAAGAAGGGGATCCCCAGGCCAGGCCCTCCTTGGTGCTTCCCTCCAGCCAGCAGGGGCAGGGGACTTCCCAGGGCTGGCCCCTGTAGCTATAGTGACCGGGACAAAGCGTCCCCTCGGACCCCCCACGAGGAATTCCAGGCTCTGTGCGCCTGAATCCACTTGGACAAAAGCGAAAGCTCCTGGGGTCTGGCTTCAGGGAGCCCTTCCAGCCCCGCGAATGCTAGGGGGGAGGGAGCATCAGGGGACACCTGTGTGCTTCCAAGTCCCCTCCAGGGACCCAAAGCCTCCCCTGCCCCTCTCCCTCCAGGGTCGCCCTCCCCCTTCTCCACCCCAGCCCTCCGAGCCTGGATCTGCCGCCTACTCCAGCTCCCCGCACATCACACGCCCCACAACTCTGCTGGGACACGGCTCACCACACCCAGAGGCCTCCCACGAACTCACCCGGGACAGCCCACTGCTTTCACACGTCCACCACCTGCCCACGGCTCAGAACACATCCAGCCCCTCAGCACCCGGAGCCCCCCTCCTAACCAGACAGCACAAACCAGGATCCATGCTTCCCCACCCCAGCACCCAAACCAGACGCCACAGACAGCACAAACCAGGATCCATGCTTCCCCACCCCAGCACCCAAACCAGACGCCACCCATCACACCCCCTGCTGCCCCACAGCCCCCTCAGCACGCAGCTGCCCCAGAGTCCCGGGCACACTCATCCCTTGGAGCCCGCTGTGCCCCAGCGTGCATCTGTCTGCACCCCATGCCTCAGGCCTGCACCCATGCGCCCGGCAGCCAAGGCCTGGGATGTCCGCCTAGGGGGCCAGACTCTGCCCCAGGACTCCCAGCCTTGCCCTCCACTCACCAGCCAGGAAGCCAAAGGCAGGGGCCCAGGGCAGCAGCAGCAGCAGGAGAGAGACCATGGGCCTGGGGTCCCGGGCCCCAGGCCTGGCCAGCGCCATGGCAGCCCCGCTCTGCTCGCCGCTGTGGGAACAGCCGCCCAGCGGCTCCTCTCCCCCCTCTCCCTCCAACCAGCACTAATGCCATGGACAGAGGCCCGGCCCTCCTCCCCGCCTCCGCCTCCCCCACCGGCCTCCCAGGCTGCTCCGCCCCGGGCCGGATTCTAGAGGAGGGGGCTGGCTGCCCCATCCCCCAGACAGCGGACCCTGGCCCCTGGCCCAGGTCTCAGGGGCCCCGTGGGCCTGAACTCTCGGTGCGGCCACTCTCCTCCCCACCCCTTCCTGAGTCTCCTCCCACTTCCCAGGTAGAGCCACGGCCCCCCTGGAGACCCAGGTAATGCCTGCTGCTCCAAGCCGCCCCCCCCACCCTCCGCGCGCACACACCCCAGCCCTCACCATCCACCTCGGGATAATCCAGGTACCAGGGCTGCACCCTCCCCCCACCCACCCACCAGCGCACCTCTCTCATTCAGCCCTGGCTCTGTCCCTGCCGGCTGCACCCCCAGAGCCCCTCCCTGCAACCTGAGCCGGCCCATTCTGCAGAGTGGCAGCTCTAGGTGAGCAGGCATCCCTCTCCCCCGCCGGGAAGTCCTGCCTGCTGTCCAGCCTCACAGGCTCCCCCGGCACAGGGGAGGAGGTGCGGCCCCAGGCCAGCGTGGAACAAACCCCCCCACCTGCCACCGCCCTGGGCTCCAGGCACCCCTGGCTCAGGGACTTTCCTGGAATGAGCCCAGCTCAGTAACCATGGACTCGGCCCACGCAGGCCCAGGCTCTGGGAGTGTCCCTGACACTGGAGGGCACTGTGGGTAGGGACAGCGACCATTGAGGGCCCCCACCCTACCCCGGGCTTTCTAACGGGAGAGGCGAGGCCTGGGAAAGAGCAGGGCGGGGGGCGCCACCCATGGCACCAGCAGGACCACCACCCCCACCCCCACCCCAGGCTGCCCAGGGTTCGCAGAGGAGATGGGGGGGGCGCTGCCCTTCACAACAGCCCCTCCCTACCCCAGTCTTGTTCTTGCTGTGGGCAGGGCTGCTGGACACACACACACACACCACTCCCAAACCCACCCCGAATTCATTCCCTGCCTCTGACATCCACCCACGCCCGCAGCCTCCCACCTCTGCGGACACCCTCTCTACTCCGCGGGACGGGCACAAGCCCCACAGCTAACAGACCCGGGTTCAGTCCCCGCACACCACTCCCTGCTCTGAGCCTCAGTTTCCCCAACTGTAAAGTGGGGGTTACAACAGCCCCCAGATTACGCGGTCATTTAATGAGCTCTTCTCTGGCAGCCCTGAGGAGGGGAGACGGGACCTCAGGGCTCCCACAACACACAGCGAGGTCCACGGGGCACGGTTCTGCACGCCCAGCCAGACCCCGCCCCCCAGAGCCAAGCCCGCAGCCGCCTCGCGCCCCCTTGCGGTCAGACCTGGGAGTGTCCCGCGAAGCTGCAGGTGCCCCCATGTGCGAGGGAGGGGAGAAGGGGGGACTGAAGTGAGACGGGGCGGGCTCCCAAGGCCCACCCCCCCGAGGGGAGCCAGGAGGGAGGGGACGACAACGCAAGGTTGGTGTCATCCCCACGTTACAGATGAGGACGCTGAGAGGTGAAGTCAGCTACAGCCCTTTCCCTCCGAGGGGTTGCAACCCCTGCTGACTGCGGCCGCGGGGCTCACAGGGCCCTGGCCCGGGTCGCGGGGAGAGGGCGGGGAAGCCGCTGCTGAGTGGCGGCTGGGAGCCCCAGCGTGGGCATCAGGCCGACCTGGGCTGACCCGGTTTCTGTCCAGTGCCCGTGGGCAAGCTGTGGTCTTTGCTTTTCGGGATTTGCTTCCTGCATCTGCGCTTCGTGTCCCTGGGAGGCTGGCAAGGGTTGGGAGAGGGAGGCTGGCTCTGCCCCGGTGACCCCCGCTCTGACCCCGCGCCCGGCTCCCCAGGGCCTTGCTGGCGATTCTTGGTGCTCCTGGCTCTGTACTGCTGGCTCCCTGCCCCCTGGCGTCCTGGCAAGGGTGGGCCGGTGCGGGGCTCAGGCGGGGGAGGGGGCAGCCGAGGTCGGTGTTTCTTCCCTCTTTCTCCCTGCACGGGTGCTCTCAGCCAGGATAGGCACCGTGGCTGCCTCGGGTCACACAGGTCTGGGGCCAGCTTCAGCCCTGACCTCACCACGCGTGCACCTCAGAGCCCGTCCCTGTGGCTCCCCTGGCTTTGCGGCCTCCTCCCTGGCTGGCCGCCCCTGCCCCTCTCACGGCCCGGCCCTCCCTGGGGGAGCGTGCCCACGCCCTGGCTTCCGTGGTCCTGCTCCCAGCCCCACCAGTGGTTCTTAACCTTGGCAACAGAGATCTCACCCCCACCCTTTTAAATTGGTGTTTATTTCTGTTTATTTGAGAGAGAGAAAGAGAGGGAGAGAGGTCTTCCATCCACTGGTTCCTCTCTCAAATGCCCACAACAGAAGCCAGGGCTGGGCCAAAGCCAGGAGCCCAGAGCTCAGTCCACATCTCCATGGTGGACCCGGTCACTTGAGTCATCGCCCGTTGCCGCCCAGGGTGCGCGTTAGCAGGAAGCTGGGGTGAGAGGCAGAGCCAGCACCTGACCCCAGATGTGGGGTGCGAGCAGTGCCGAACGCCCGCCCCTTCATCTCATATGCATATGCGTATGGCGTCCAAAGGAAAGTCCACCCAGGCCCAACTGGGCCTCCAGAGGAGCCCACTCCAGGCCAGTGGTTAAGGGCTCAGAGGCTGGTTCCAGTCCTGCTTCCTCGCTTGCGAGCTGTGTGGCCTTGGATGGGTGACCGTGCTCCCTGTACTTAGCTCCCTGGGTAAGGAACAGGCACCAAGAGCGCCCCACGGTGCAGAATCACTGGGAGGATTTGTGAGGAGCTACCAGAAAGCACCCAGGGTGGAGCCTGGTGCGGGCGAGGAGTTCCATGAGTTTAAGCCGACACCTGCTTTAAATTGTAAATGCCCTTGTCATAAATGATGAGAGGCTGGTGTGGGTAGAGACACCCCGCCACCACCCCAACGCAGGGAGTGTCCCGGGGCGGCCAGACACCGTGGAGCAGGTCACTCTTCGCCATGGGGACAACTCCAGAGGCACGGACAAGATCAGGCGCCATCTTCCCTCGGTTTCCATGGGAGCCGCGAGTGTGGCCAGTTCAGTGTATGTGAACAGACATACCCCAGCCTGGGGCTCCTGGTTCCCACCACTGCTGACCCGTGCTCTCCGTCGGCTTGAATGTCTGGCAGGTGGGATCCAGCGACAGTGGGCGTGCGCGCTGTCCCACGCATCACAGGGGGTCCCGTGGCCCGAGCCCCAGCCGCTGACTGCTACGGGTGCCCCCCGGTCACCATGACAACCAAGAACCCCCCATAGCTTACAAAGGAGCACCTAGGAGGCCCCTGGCTGCTACCCCAGCTGCTGCGGGGTTTCCACACCCCAGTTGTGTCTCTTGCCTGTCGATGGGCAGTTACTCTCAGGTCAAGTTCACATCCTGAGCCTGATGCCCAAAGTCTTTCATACCCCAGCCCCTGCTTACCTCCCGCTCAATGCACATCAGGGCCACCTCCCACCCCCACTCGCCACCTCTGGCCGGCTTTCCTCTCTCCCTCCCCCCACTAGCCCCCCACCTTCCCACTAGGCGGTTTTGCCCACAGGCCTTTGCTCCTGGCGTCTGCCCCTGGGGTGCCCCTCAACTTCTCCTCCTCCTGACCCCAGGCCCACTGACCCCTGGCTGACCCACTGACCTTCTTCTTAGGGAAGAGGCCTCTGACCCCATCCCACCCCCAAGCTTGGTCGGCCTCTTCTGGGCCCCACGGACCCCTCAGCTTCCCTTGCAAGTCGTGCCCTGTCTGGTGACAGCAAGGATGTCTGTTCCCCGGGCAGTCAGGTGCACGTGGGAGTCGCTCAGCGCCCTCCCCTCGGGCAGCCCGCATCTAGGGTAGGGGACGGACACAGGAGGGCGGGGCAGGCTGCTCGGAGAAGATGGAGCAGAGACGCAGGGGTACCTGGCTGAACACCCAGCCTGGGCAAAGGTCAGGGGTGAGAGGGCATGGTGCCCTCCAGAACCGGAGTCGCGTGGCATCACCCACAGGCAGGAGGTGAAGGGCGGTGGTTGAGACGAGGCTGAGTCAGCAGCTGACAGGGGAGGCGGGGCCTGCAGGTGCCCGGGAGGCCTGGCTGTGTCCTGGGGCACCGAGGAGCCACGCCAGGGTCGGAGCAGGGTTTGATGTGGTCAAGGCTGCAGGTGCTGGAGTCAGAACGAGGTGGAGCCCAGGGGTGGGCCTTGAGCAGCGGGAGCAACAGGACGTGGGTCTTCTGGGGCTGAGAAAGGAGGAGGAGGACAGAGGGCACCCTGGGTCTCAGTTTGGTGCCGTCCCGCCCCCTCCCCCGTTGCCCTTCTCCGGGTAATGAAGGTGGAGCCAGGAGGAGGGGTCCGGACAATGGCCGAATGACAAACTGCAGATCCCTCAGCCGGCACTAGAGGGAGCTCCAGGACAGGCCCAGGCGCCTCTGCCGCTTGCCGCCGGCCTCCACCCACCCTGTGACTGCGCTCAGATGAGGTCTCTGGGCTTCGGGACAGGGGCCAGCCCAAGCCCAGCAGCGTAGCCAGCTCAGGGCCGCCTGATCCTCCAGCCCCAGCAAGCAGGTGGGGAGGGGCCTTGAAGTGGGGGGCCGAGGTTGGGGACTGCAGGCAGGATGTCTCTGCTGACCCCGCCCCATCCCCGGGGGAAGCAGGGAGCTGACTCGCTCAGGGCCACATCACACGAGGGGCAGAGCTAGTCCCAGCCACAGCCGCTCCCCGGGGTGGGCAAAATGGCCCAGAGCTCCCAAGCTGGGTGGAAAGGGCTCCAGACTCGCGAGTATCCGCACCTTCCTGACCCTCCCCACAGAATCCTGGGAGAGCAGGGCTCCTGGGAGCCCCCCAGGCCTGGTGGCTTAGGGGGTGCGGGCCGAGTTGGAGTGATGCGTTGCGGTAGGTGTGTCCCCTGGGCAATCAGGGCGGAGCCGGCCCAAGCCCCGCACCCAGAACTCTCCCCAGCAACCACTTCATCAAAGGGACTTGGGTATAACGCAGTCCAGAGTCAAGGCCAGCAGG